ATATCTCCAAACTATCAACTTCAACAAGCTCAAAAAATATCAATCGATTGACACCAATTTTATCAGCAATGATGTAGAAAGAAGTGAAGATTACAACTTTGAAACTCAAAAATTCAATATAGAAGAAAATCACAAACATAACACTCAACAATTCAAGGATTTACAACACAAAATTCAAGACTTCAACAAAAAAAAAATCAATTCAAGAAAATCAAATTCAAGAAATTAAACTCAAGAACCAACTTAAGAAATCAACTCAAAGAAGAACTTCAAATATCAATTACAAGAAGGCAACTCTAAAAAAATTCTCGAAATCAAGCTCAAAAACTTAATTCAAAGAAAATTTTCAAACTCGAAGTTCAAGGAATCAAGAAAAGACTAAAATCAACAATCATCACAATTCACTAAAATTCAATAATAAATATGCATAAGATCAAGAGAAAACAAGTTTCAACAAGAAAATAACAAGAAAGAGAAAATTTAAGCTAGAAAATCAAACTTAAACCACTTAACAATTAGTCAAATTTGGAGAAATGTTGAAATTCCTGAACTTCATAGCATGCAGCCAAGTTTGGAGGACATCCTAAACCCTAAACAAGTGATGGATTAATCTCCTGTAGACACACTCCCTAAAGTGATCACTTGCTAGAGACACTCCTTGAACTTTGGTTCATTCTTGGTCAAGACTAAACTCACCTCACAAACCTAACCGCCTCTTGTATTGCACTTGTATTGCCAACAATATTGTGTGCCAAGATCAAGAAAATGAAATAGGAAAGTGGGGCATATAAGCATGCAGCATTGCTAAGGAGTTCATCTTCAATCCCAAGGCACTCAACATGATCAAGGTGAGTCTCCTTTGTAATCCTATTTGGAATAAGATTGAAAAGCTTAACACATGGCTACACGAAGTCAAACTTTACGAGTTCTCAAAGATCATGGAGAAGTTATACAACATCAATATCACCAAGAAGCTTCTCTTAGCATATAAGGAAGAATTCATGCACACCAACGACTACAAGTTTGTCTTGAGTGCCAAGTATTTTGCATAGACATTCAAACTTCCCACTAGTGGAGAGCCAGTGACATTGATTCCATACATGAAGGGGATTCCACTAAAATGTATCAAGGTACATGAAAACTACAACAACAGAAATTTTGTGCAAATGAACAATGTGATCAATGAAGCTAAGTTACAACTCAAGTTTTTGATCTCCATATTAGAGATGTGCAAGTCCATGACTTCCGCTAGCAAAGCAATTGCAATTCTCTACAATGACTTATAGCAAAAGACACAAGTTGACATTGCCAGTTATCTCCATGACAAGATCATCAAGGAATTTAGCAACAAAAGACTAGGCAAAGCCATGAAGATAGAGACATTACGAACACGAAGAAAAAGAGAATGTGCTTCAAAAATATGAGAAGATTTGATCCTCTTCGGACTAGCAAAGAGACAAAAAGCATCAATTAAGACAACACCACCCATTCATAAGGCCAAGGTAACATCTACACAATAGTAAGAAATTTGTCAAGAGAACGACCAACAACAAAGATCATGAAGCTTAAGGTGAGGAAATTCAAAAGAACACTGAAGAATAAGATCCTGAATACATAACTACCTTGTTGGATGATGCCAAGAATGAGATAAGTGCCAAGAAGGAGGTTCCAAACCTATAGTCATCACAACTAAAGGAGGGTAATATGAACATGACCTAGCAGGAGCAGCCTCTAGCATCTCCACCACATGCGGCAACACTAACAAATCTAGCTCTTGACACCAATACCAATAGCATCCCACATCACCATGTACATCACAGTCAAGAGTGTCCCAAGCAAGAGTGATGTCGTGAGCCCAAGCTTCCACACTAGATCTTAAGCTCGGCATTTCTCCAGTTTATGGACAAAATGCAATATCTCCAGCTGTTATAAATATGACTGTGGATATAAAAAAATTACTTATCGACAAATCCTTTTGAATATTTTTTTTCTATTTTTATCCCTATTTATCCCCCAAAGTTTTAAGGATTTACGGTGATAGTATATCTAAATCTCATCCCATGATCACATGCGTTACATTGTGTATGATCTTTGATAAATATGCACTTATTCAATTATTATATTAATAATATTCTCGTCTATAGAGTTGTGAGATGAAAGGAGAAGACACTCTAGCTCAAGTTCATTTTTAGACACTATTGAACAAAATATGCCAAATTAGAATATGATTTTCAACACCACCAATGTTTTATAGTTTCATAAGTGACAAAGTGTAAAAGAATTTACAAACTATTAAAACCATCTATAATGGTGGTTTAGATAAAGTTTTAATCGGGTGAGAGAGGAATTGCTTATTCCATTGGGAGTAAAGTATACATGAACACATAGAAAAATGCATTTGAGTGGAATGCCTTGATGAGCACAAGCATTTATGTTGGAGATTAAAAGCTAAAAACACTTTAAAAGATGTAGAATAGATTTGGTTGGCATGGTGGTTTACTCATTTTCCACATTGGGGGACTCTAATTATTTCTCAAGTGAGCAAATATTAGCATTGATCCTTTTTATTAATTCTCTTTTTATTATAGATGAGTTCTAAAATAGTTATTACCCAAATTCCAACAATAAATTTTACCAAAAGTTACTATGTGATATGGCTAACAAAAATAAGTGGCTTGAAAAATAAACCTCTATCTAAAGCTTGTTGAAATGACTTAATCATTTTTATCTTATAATAGGCCTTTATGCATACTTATATAAAAGGCCAAGTTATAGGAAATGGACTAAATGTTGAGGATTTAGTGGCACGCTTATCTATTATAACATCAACATGATATTTTAGTTCATAGAATTGATAAAATCAACTTTAGATGATTTTGGAATTCAATTCGCAACAAAACCAAATAACCTTGAAATTATCATAAGTGACAAACAAATGAGCTGATATAACTAATAGTTTCGCACTATAGTATGAGTATATTACTAGAGAACGAGAAGGACAAATAATTTCAGGCAACTAAGATCTCATATGCTTCCAAGTCAAAGAATAAAAAATTCAGAAGATTGAGTGAGATATATGACAATCTAAAATAAAATCTACAATCAAGTGTCTTGCTTGGATTGGAGGAAAAATATGTGGTAAGCAGATTACTTTAGGAATTTTATGCAACAATAATAATATGGTGATCTTCCACAACACAATAATCAGTTTATATGGTTCTGTCCAACATAAAGTTTGCACACATAGTTTGTTACAACATAGATTATCCAATAACTAGAACATGTACTATGTACTTATCTAATTGAAAAAAGGGTGAATTTGACAAATTTGGAGCTTTAAGCTTTGGTTAAAGCAAGCTTTAAATTTGAAGAGAACTGTAGCATATGTGATCATGAGATGAAATTTAGATATACTGTCACCATGAATTCTTAAAACCTTGGAGGATAAATAGGGATAAAAGAGCCACTAAGGGCTTTCTCATCAAACAATTACCCCTTTTCCAATTGGTTTAAGGGGAGAAAGATAAAGTGTATTATAGTTGGTATCGGAGTAAATGGCATGGATTCGATTCCCATTGATTAGTGGCTATTTAAAAAATATAATATACCTTTGAGCAAGGTATAATTCTACCCCTAAATTTAAAATTGTATATATTGGGTATCCATGCGTATGTCCTTCCTGTTGTGTGGAGTATCCATGGACAAAGGTATCCACCATGGGACTGCGGTACGGGTGAATAACTAGTTGCCTCACATGGAATAATTGGTCTATACAATGGAGATGTTGATTCCTTTTGGCTCAGTAAAAGTAATTAATTAATAATGAATGAGGACATTGACATCTCTGAAGGGGGGGTGAGTGTAGCGCATGTGATTATGAGATGAGATTTGAATATACTGTCACCGTGGATCCTTGAAACCTTGGAGGATAAATAGGGATAAAATAGTCATTAAGGGCAATTGCCCTTTTTCCAGTTGGCTTAAGCAAAGAGAAATAAAGTGCGCTATAGTACACTTTATTGCCACAACCACAAGTTTAACCTTAACACTATTTTTAAGAAGTTCTGAAAACAAGAAATAACAAACATGTAAAGATTATAAATATTTAGTCAAAGGAAGCAAAAATAACATACTCAAAAGCATTACAGTTGAAGGTGGAAGTTATCATGGGTATATAGTTCTCAATTATGAAATTGATATTGTAAATGGAAAATTTACAACATCATAATGAATCAATTCCTAAGTTGCACTTGTGCATTCTTTCAATAGTAAACTTCTAATAAATCTTCCATCCTTTGTAAATATATATATTTTGTATATTGTATGTTTCTCTGGGATGGATCTAAATGTTAAATTTTGGATTCATCACTCTGCAATGTTTAAACATGGGGTGTTTATGACATTGAGAAAGAATTCAATATTGATATTGTATTTGAATTTTATATAATATAAATAAATTTTTATTTATAAATTACATCTAAAACAATATAGAGAATTTCTTATAATAGGGATTTTATAGTAATAATGAAAAATTCAATACAAATATACATTATAAATTAGAGGATGCTAACTTAAATAATTAGTATAATACTAATTATTAAATATTAAAATAATATTTTCTTCTGTAAACTAGTTGATAAAGCATAACATCTATTAAATAGCAACTATTGCCACTATGGTAGTTTACACAGATCTAAATATTTAAAATTATTAATTTGGTTTAAAATACCTATTTAATAAGAATATTGCTGTTAAAACCTAAAAGGAATATTCTTTGTTGTGCTAATATTCTTAAAATGTTTTTGTCAACTCCGGAATGTCTGTTTGGACCAGGACGAGCAGTTGATTCGCCGAATCTATTTTCTATATGGCTCCTCACACTCAACGACGCGATAAAAGTCTTCTGGGGGTGTTCCAGACAGTGGAGCGCTGTTACAAGGTATATCTTGAGCGCTTAGAGATCTCTAGCTGCCATGGCCACCGTGAATGGATCGCCCAAGATCGATCCAGACGCCCTCGTCGATGCCTGGCTCGCGCGATTGGATTCCTCTCTCGCCTCCGGCGATGCATCGGCCGCTGCCAATCTCTTCGAGGAATCCACTTCGTTCTGGCGGGATCTCATCGCGTTCACCTGGAACATCGTCACGGTCGAGGGCCGGTCACAGATCCACGCCATGCTCCAATCCACGCTCGAATCAGTCGCGCCCAAGGGTTGGGTCCGCAACGGTACCGCCAGCTACAGCGCGGACTCGGGCGTCATTGAGGCCTGGATCAAGTTCGAGACGCGCGACGCGGTATGTACGGGGCATTTGCGCCTGATGGCCACTACTTCCCTCTGTCGTACGCTACTCACCGCCATGGAGGGGCTCAGGGATTTCCCAGAGAATAAGGGCCGTACGCGGCCCAACGGTGTGACGCACGGCGTCATACGGCACCGCGCGTCATGGCTGGACGGGCGCAAGGAAGAGGAGCGGACGCTGGGCAGTACCGTGCAGCCCTATTGCGTCATTGTCGGGGGTGGGCAGGCGGGTATCGGGCTTGCCGCGCGGCTCCGGCAGCTCGGCGTGCCGTGCATTGTTGTAGAGAAGAACCCGCGGCCGGGCGATTCGTGGAGGAACCGCTACAAATCGCTGTGCCTCCACGATCCGGTGTGGTATGATCATCTCCCCTATTTGCCATTCCCGGAGAATTGGCCGATCTTCGCGCCCAAGGACAAGATGGGAGATTGGCTCGAGGCGTACACCAAGATCATGGAGATTAACTACTGGACCTCCAGCGAGTGCCTGGGAGCCCGATTGGATCCACAGTCCGGAGAGTGGGAGGTGAAGATCCTGCGAGATGGGAGCAAGGAGGTGACCTTGCGACCCAAGCAGCTCATCCTGGCGACCGGGATGTCAGGATTTCCCAATGTGCCACGGATTCCCGGGCAGGAGGAATTCGTGGGCGGTCTCCATCACTCGAGCAAGCATCCGGGAGGCGAAGCTTACAAGGGGAAGAGAGCGGTGATCCTGGGATCCAACAATTCGGCCCACGACATCGCCGCCGATCTCTGGGAGAATGGCGCCGCGGAGGTGACGATGATCCAGCGATCCTCCAGTCACGTTGTTCGATCGGAGTCGCTTTTCCGCTTCCTGACGCAGGAGATCTACTCGGAATCGGCGGTAGAGTCGGGGATCACGACTGACAAGGCGGACATGATCTTCGCGAGCTTGCCATACAAGATCATGGGCGATGCCCAGCGATGCAATTCCGATGCGATCCGAGCCCACGACAAGGATTTCTACGCCGCGCTCACCAATACTGGATTCATGCTCGACTTTGGCGACGACGACTCGGGGCTCTTCATGAAGTACCTCCGCCGTGGATCCGGCTACTACATCGACGTGGGCGCATCCCAGCTGTTGATCGACGGCGAGATCAAGCTACGCAGTGGCGTCACCATCGCGTCGCTCAAGCCGAGCTCGGTGGTGCTGAGCGACGGTACGGAGATCGCGGCCGATGTGGTGGTTTTAGCCACGGGGTACGGATCTATGAACCAATGGGCCGCGAAGCTAATCTCCCAGGAGGTGGCGGATCGCGTGGGCAAGTGTTGGGGGCTGGGATCGAACACGCGCAAGGATCCCGGGCCGTGGGAGGGGGAGCTCCGGAATATGTGGAAGCCCACCGCGCAGGAAGGGCTGTGGTTCCATGGTGGGAATCTCCACCAGGCTCGTCACTACTCGCTCTATCTGGCGCTACAGCTCAAGGCGAGGATGGAGGGAATCGCGACGCCGGTGTATGGCATGCCCAAGGTCCACCACCTCAGCTAGACAGTGTCAACTCAAGCAATGGTCAAAGGTCAATGGTCAATTGCTAGTCAAACAGTCAATAACATTTAAAATTTGGAGAAAAAAAAACGAAGATAACCGTTGGGAATTAGGTTTAGGGCTCTTGCTGCGATGGATGCTGTTTGATTTCATCCTTATCCTCCTGACAAAGAGATTTCGAAGGCTCTCAATCCATAGTACATGATTTTTCGTGTCTCCTTCTTGTAGGCTTTGCAAAGGGGATATTTTACAAGGCGAGTAGCTTGTACGATTACGATTTTCATCACGAGAGGGCAGCTTTTCTAAAAAAGAAAATTTCTTGTGGAAGTTGTCAGGCTCTGGGCAATCTCTACATCCTTGTACCATCAAGAAGAAGATAAAAATAAGGAACACGGTACTGTGAATCTGATCGAGTTCTTTGTTTCCTTGCTTTGGTCCTTTCAACTCAGTCGCCGACAATAGTCTGAGGTTCTTATCTCCACCGCGACTCAAGCATGGAGCAAAACTTTGCACGAGAATGAGTTAACTTGCGAATTTTTCTCGGCAATGCAGGCTAGTCAGCGCGTTGGAAGACAATGCGATTGGAGCTACAGCGGCGTTGGAAGTTCTAGATTGTTTCTCACACTCTCAAGTTTGACCATCACGGTTTCGTCGAAGCAGCCGAGCCTCGAACGAAGAAACTCCTCGCAAGAAGAAAAAAGAGGATTATATCTTCTCAGTGCATTCGTTTTGGATGGATGGCAGATCTGATTCCTCGTTTTCTCCTTTTCTCTCACTGTTTGTGCAGGGCATCAGTTTCACTTTGAGTTTGGAGCAACTTCTTTATAACAGTGAGTGCTCCCCCGGCGTTCGTCAACACGGCTCGCGATTGTTTAATCCAAACAAGTCATTTTCTAATAGAGGGGAGGGAGGTTGCCACTTCGCTTGCGCCACCACCACCTCGAAGTAGTGGAAGCGGCAAAATCTCCCAAAGGCATATCTTTTCGCTGGTAGCGGACAAACATCTATCGCATCGCATAGACAAAGTCAAATAAATCCTCGCAGGATCACAAATTCTGGTGGACAAGCTTTTAAAACACGTTTGTGGATAACAGGAAGGGAGAGCAGCGCAAAAAGTTGGCCAGATTGATTGTTGGATGGAACGGACGGAGAATTGGAAGACAAGAAAAGCAAAGAAAAAAAAAGAAAAAAAAAGAAAAGCAGAGAGATGGATTCAAGGCAGCACAACGTTAAAAAAGAAAAAATCGCTGAGATTCCGGCATCTGGGCATCTGGCAAGTTGCATAGCACCCGCCAAAAGCCAAGATGCTCTCCCATTTCAACAACCGCAACTAGACAAAGCTCTCTTTTTATTTCCTCGTTTTTTCTTTTTTTTTTCTTCTTGGTCTATCTCAAGCAAAGCCAAGCCAAGCCAAGCGCTCGATCGAGGCTCCTCCACAACACCACGACCGATTCGTTCCAATGGATCGATCCATCCATTCGTCCACGCCAAAACGAAGCGCGAGCTCGCCAGCTTTCAATGCCCCAAAGATGCTGCTGTTGACAAGTCGCGGCCACAAAAGAATCGGTGTGTAATCAAAAAAACGATCGCAGCGGCACATTGGTCGCTTTCTCCCAGGAAGCTTCACGGTACGGACGGGGGAGACAACGGGTCCGTACGCGAGCCAATGAATGCTGCCTTATCCGCACCTCCACGTGTCGCGCTCTAGCCATGTGTGGAATCGAGAACAGGTGGCCACATGCATGCAAAGATGGATCAAACTCTAGGGCTGGGGCTTGCTTTTGCCCTAAGCAAGGGTGAAAGTAATGGCAGGCAGGTAAAGGTTAAAAACCTTCTTCACCTTCTAGGCTGGCCAATGGGGTGGCAGGATTGGTGCACACCTCTCCAGAGTCCCTATCCAAGGGGACCCAACACAAAGATACCAAACACTTGACATACACTCACCTATCATCTACAACAGTGGCGTTTACAGAAAAATCAAAAGAATTTCAAGCGTTATGAGCTATTTTGATAGGAAGTTTTCATCCAATGTGGATAAGCTTTGGCTCGGTTGCTGCTTAATTGGCTTAATCGGGGATTGGGTAATATAATTATAGTGGCTCACTACTAGGTTGCTGCCACGGAAGACTGGTTCCTCCCTCGATTCATAGCGTGTTTGATCTCTTTTCTCTCTTTTTCTTCTTTTCTTCTTCTTCTTCCTCTCATCCTTATCTTCGCGAGAGGAAGGAAGCAAGGAAAGCCCTCTCCATCTCCACCTCGCGCTCGCCATCTCTCGCCATCTCTCGCGCTTTTCTCTTCTTGGGTCGCCAAAGAGGGCTTTTGGGGATCGACCCACGAGACCCATCAATCGCGAATCGCGTCGCGGCGCTGGTGGGTCGGAGGACGATTTGGGGCGTTTTTTTTCGGGTTTGGTTTCGCCTTCTTCGCGTTGCGGCGATCGATCAAAGGCCGTCTACGGTGGCTTCGGTGGCGCGCGATCACAGGGAAGAATTGGTGCTGCTGCGGTGTGAATGGGAGGATTGTCGCGCGGCTGCTGCTGCTGCCAAATGCGCGCTCGCCTGCTGACGGATCCCGAAGGGAACAGGCCTCTGGATTGCGTAAGGCCGCGCCTCGCCCGCCAGCTTGCTCGCAGGAAGATCCAGAATCGCCAGAGCCTCCTCAAGGGCTGACAACAAGTTCTTCTTTTGTTCTTCCTTACCGGGTAAGCTGGTTCTCCTTAAAGAATTCTCTCTTTTCGACCAAAGATGGAGGTTCTCATCGATCTTCCTTGCAGATCGAGGCGAATCCATCCCTTTGAAAGGAAGAATGTCGATTGCCTACCAGAGCTGGGAGATAGGATCGGGCCCAACCGTGGGATACAAACTCCAGGCTCACCAAGCAGCTGGCGATGGGCTAAACCTTCGCAAGCTTCTCTGCCGGCCCGAGACGACCGCCAGGTTCATGCAACAGGGTCTTCCTCCTCCAGCTCCAAAGCAGAGATTTTCCTCCTCCGCCACCATCGCCGCCACCACCACCACCGCCACTCTGAGTGGCGGAGCTTCTAAACCGGACGAGGACTTGCCCCCGACCAAGGTGGAAGTTGTGGAACTTGTTGTGGCGCCGCCAGGAGGACTGGAAACGACTAACATGCCATCGTCGTCCTCGTCGCTCGTCACATCCTCCATCTCCAACGAGAGCTCGGACGAGTCGGACGACAAGGAGGTCCAGAGCGCGTTCAAAGGTCCCCTGGATCAAATGGATTCGTTGATGACCACTCTCCCAGTCAGGTTTGCTCCAAGTTCTTGTTTCCTCCATAGCTAGCTTGCTCTTGTTTTCCTCCATAGCTCGCTTGCTCACTTCTTCTTTCTCCAGGAGGGGGCTGTCAAAGTTCTACGTTGGAAAATCTCGTTCCTTCACATCGCTGGCGGACGTGAAATCGATGTGCATGAAGGACTTGGGCAAGCCCGAGAATCCATACTCCAAGAGGAGGAGGCTTCCATCCCACCGCGAAGGGATGGAGTCCAAGCCCAGGTTTCCACCACCCCGGATCTCCACTGGGATCTCCAAGAAGCCAATCTCCTCCAACGGGACGACGCTCACGCTGGCGCTCGCCATGTCCACCAAGGGTGACAGGCTCGACGGCAGCGACGAATGCTTCGCCACGGCAAAGCAGTGGCAAAAGAGCTGCCGATCATTCTCGCTCACCGACTTGCAAAAGGCTTGAACAAGTTCCAACTTTGCTTGAACGATCCGGAAGAACTTCCAGCGAGTTCCATGGTGGTGACACAAAGTTTAGCCGCAGGACACACTTTCATATGGAAGGTTGTATAATATCTGAGAGAGGAGGAGAGTAACTTGTAGAGAAAAAGAAAAGAAAGATACCAAGGGATACAACTCAGGGAGATGAGATGGCGTGAGATGGTGTTTTGTGTGTGAGAGAACAGGAAGGTTCCAGTGGGTTTTTGTATTTGATCCAGACTTTGACACTTGTATACATCGCTAGCGATGACTTGCTCCGGAAGTCCATCGTTGGTACAAATGCTTTTCGAGTTGACTACCTTGCTGAGAATGTCAATGACGCCATCAGTCCTTGTTGTGTTGTGATTCCAGACCACGAGAACTTCTCCGGACGAGAACTTCTCCAAAGGTTCTTTGAAGGAGGACGAAACTCTGTGAAGAAAAAGAGAAGGAAACTTTTAGAGCCATCCTGGAGAGACATACCTGGCTTTTGTGGCGGTTCTCTAACCAGGAACTGGGGTGTTGTGATGCTCCCCGGCATAGATCTGGGAGAGGAGGACAAACGGAGCCGCACAGCTTTCGGTGGATTGCATCTGAGCCGCTGTTCTTGCTCCGCGGTGGAGGTCCTGTTGGTTCTTGCAAGCCGCCAGCATCGTGTTCAAAGTCACAACGTCTGGCCGGTCGATCATGCTGATGAGCTCCTCCGCCTCGTCCAGCCGTCCTGCCCGACACAGGAGATCCACCATGCACTGGTAATGCTCGTCCAAGTGTGGCAGCTCAAAGTCGGAGATGATCCAAGTGAAGTAGTGGCACGCTTCGTCGGTCAGCCCCGCGTGGCTGCACGAGTTGAGGATGGCGATGAGCGTAACTCCATCCGGCACAACTCCCTCGTTGACCATCAGCCTGTAGGTGTCAATGATATCGTCGTGCTGTCCGTGCCGAGCACACAGTGTCATGATCGCGGACCACGAGATCCTGCTGCTCCTATCCATGCTCTCGAAGATCTGTCTCGCGTCTCTCATGCTCCCACACCTCGCGTACATGTTGATGAGACCGTTCCCAAGGAAGTCGGACATCTTTCCTCCCTGTGCGGCCAGGATGCGAGCATGGACTTCTCTGCCATCTTCCAAGTTGGAGCACGCCTGAAGAACGGACGAGAACGTCACCTCGTCTGGTTCCGAATCCATCCGCTTGAACAGACTGAGAGCTTCTCGCTCGTTCCCAGCCGAGACACAGCCTCCAATCAACGCGGTCCAAGTTACGGTACACTTCTCCCCCACGCTCTCAAACACCTGCCTTGCCTCGCCCAAGGCGTTGCACCTCGCGTACATGGTGATCAACGCGTTCTTCACGAAGTCTGGTAGCATCCCGCAGGCTAGAGCACGGGAATGGACCTCTCTTCCGGTTCGCAGATCTTCCACTCGAGCACAGGAACTCAGGACGCTCATAAACGTGACGACGCTCGGTGACAGCCCCTCCAAAACCATCTCCCGATACACTCTGATGGCCTCTTCGCCACTGTCATGCCTGTTAAAAGCTGCTATCACCGCGTTCCACATGACCACCTTGTTTTGCTGCCTCGTCTTGGCAAACACCTCCCTGATCTCTTGCTCACTCCCACACTTGCAGTACATGTTGACAAGCGCGACGGCAATATCCGGCAGGCGTTCCAGTTGACACTCGATGATCCTCCTGTGAACAGCCTTGCCTTGTCGAAACGTTTGAGGGGAGCACGCCGAAACAACGGCCGCGTATGTCGTATAGCTCGGCTCCTTCCCCTCCAAAAGCATCTTGTGATAGAGACCAAAGGCTTCGGTGCTGTAATCCCCACACTGCTGCTGCTGCTGCGAGTAGCACTCTAGCATAAGTGTCCATGTCACGACGTCCTTTTCCTCTGTCCTATCGAAAACTTCCAACGCTTCCTTCACGGAGCCGCATTTGATGTGCAGACTGAGCAGAGCGTTTCCTATCGGCTGAAATCGAAAATCCTGCTTTATCGCCAAAAATTTTCCCTGTTCCAAGTCCCCCTCAATGGAGCAAGCCATGATGGCTTCGGCAACTGACACGCTATCCGGCTCCACACCTTCAGGCTTCATCCTATGGAACAATTCCAGTGCCGCTTTAGAATCACCTTGTTGCGCGTAGCCTTTTATCATGACTGTCCAAGTCAGGACATCCCGGCTCTCCATTCTATCAAATATCTTCCGTGCCTCTTCCATGTCACCACACTTACTGTACGCCGAGACAAGATCTGCCCGTATGGAATCCATCTTATCTATCCCACTCCAATCAATAAGTTCCCGGATCGTTTTGCTCAACCGTGAATCTCGCTTTAGCGAACAGGCCTGGAGTGCGCTGCAAAAAGTTGGCAAGCTCAGCTGCATTCCCTCGAGAATCATCTGCCTGAAAAGCGTCAGCGCCTTACCGGGGTCACCGAACTGTGCATGGCTCGTTACCATGGCTGACCAGCTCACGTAGTCCTTTTGCTGCATCTTCGCAAACAAGAACTCCGCGTCCTCCAGACTCCCACACCTGGAATACATGAACATGAGCGCAGTCTCCACAACAGTGATCGATTCGAAACCAAAAGCCTTGACTTCCTCGTGGAGATGCTTACCTTGCTCTAACGTCGAGCACGCGGACAGCAGCGCGACGAAGGTAGCGGAAGTTGGCGAGACGCAATCTCGCCGCATTCCATCGTAGAAAGCGAAAGCCTCGCTGCCGAATCCAAGCTGCGCATAGCCCGCGATCATCGACGTCCATGTAAAGACATCTCTGGTCGCAAGCCCGCTGAAAACCTCGAGCGCCTCGTCCATGCAGCCACACTTGGAGTACATGTTGATGAGAGCGTTCTCCATGACAATGTCACGCTGCAAACCAAGAGAAGTTATACGCTGGTGGATGGAAGAACCAAGTTCCAAGTTACCTAGCGACGCACAGGCCGTGAGCAAGCTCGCAAAGACGAATCCATTCGGCTCCAAGCGCTCCCTCTTCATCCGATGGTAGAGCTCCAGTGCCTGCTCGGGATAGTCACACTGCACGAACGCCGAGATCATGGCGTTCCAGGACACCAAGTTCTTCCTTGGCATGGCGTCGAAGATCTTGATGCCTTCCAGCACGCTACCACACCTGGCGTACATGGTCACCAGCGAGTTCTGGACGACCACGTCGCTGGCGATGGATGGCGACTCGAGAACTCTCTTGTGGATTTCCCTGCCTTGCTCCAGATCCCCCAGCCCGGCACAAGCCGCAAGAGCGCTCGCAAAGATGAATCCATTCGGCGGGATGTCCATCTTGTGGAAGAGCTCCAGAGCTTCCCTGTTCTTGCCGCTCCTGGCATAGCCAGAGATCATGAGATTCCACACGAAGTCGTTCTTGTCCGCGATCTCGTCGAATGCCGCCTTGGCATCGGCCAGGCAGCCGCATTTGGCGTACATCTGGACGACGCAGCGCCGCAGATAGCTGCTATCGCCATAGCCGGACCTGCGAAGATCGTCGTGGAGCCGCCGCCCCTCGGAAACGTTGCGCCTGGAGCAGCATTCCTGCAAGAGCCTGGCGTAGCGCGAGACCTCGGATTCCTTCAACGCAGCTCCAGAGGAAGCTCGCATCGATCGATCCACACAAACCCTAAACCTTCTCTCTTTCCAAGAATCTAGGGTTCTTACAAACTCTCGTCTCTCTCTCTCCTCTCTCACACTCGCTCAGTGGGCGTGGTTCGCATCGTTCTTCACCGATCCAGGGCTGCTGGCGCTGCTGCTGGAATCCGAGAAGCACGTCAGCTTCTGGAGCACGCCAGTGGGCGACGCCAGGATCATCTTCTTGCGCTGCTGCTGCTCGAATCCCACCGCATTGCCGCCGGCGGGAGGCTTGCACGACGAGGATTTGAGAAGAACATCCGAAAGCAAATCGCCGCTGGCGCCGGAGGAGGAGGAGATCCTGGCGAGGCTGATGTTGGTGTAGGGATCCTCCTCCTCCTCGAGCTCGTGCTCGTGATCGTCCTCGTTGTCTCGATGATCGTATCGCGCCTTGTACCGATCGTGATCGCCCCCTTGTTCTTGCTCTTCCAGCGCCAGGGAGAGGATCCCAGTGGATGGAACGCTCTTGAAGCAATGCATGGCGAGCTTGTCATGGCTGGTGGCGGGCATGGAGTTGGAATCTCGGGGCCAGTCGTCGTCGAAGAAGTGGCGCAGCGCCTCGGGCTTGCGCTCGATGCCTCGGATCAAAGGGCTTTTGCTCAGCTCCTCGTGTTCTTGCGACGATGGTCCAAAGATTTGCATGCTCCCGAAGTTGTGGTGCTCGGATCCAGCGATGATCTTGGGTGGCGACGACGATCCTCCTCCTCCTCCTCCTCCGCCACCGCCGCCGCCGCCTAGAGGCCTGGTGCAGCTGCCAGAAACCTCCGCAAAGAGCAGCTGCTCGGGACGCAAAGGATCAAACGTTGCTTTACTCATTCCATTCACAAACCTGAGAGACAAAAAAAACCATAGAATTCACAAGAGCACCACCCAAAAAAGAAAAAAAAAAAAAAAAAGTTCACAGATCAGTGATCTTCCCAGTCGCTCATCCATCCAAATTTCAATCTTGATCCAGCCAAGAACAAAGAAGCAGCAAGCAAGCCAAACAGACACGCAAGACAGCAAAAAAAAAAGATGGAAGAGTTTTTTTTCACCTTTGATGATCTTTGCTAGCAGCAAGATCTCCAGCTGATTGGAGAGGATAGTGGTATGATCCCATGCCAGTCTCCATGATCCCACCGCCAACCATCCCACCACCACCACCACCACCTTTGCTGCCGCTGCTACTCTGGTGTGACAATGCCGACGATCTGGCACCGCCATTGTTGGTGGCGGAAGTGGCGGTGGCGGCGGTGGCGGCGGAGTTGGATCCCGCTCCTGCCGCCGCGGCCGCCGCGGCCGCCGCTGCTTCCGCCGCTTTCCTAGATCTGTTCCTCCCCCTGTGCATATGCCTCTCGCAGTACTTCTGGTCCGCCACCACCGGCCTGGAGCACCGCCACTTCTTCCCATCTGTTCTTCGGCACCGCCCAGGCTCCGCGTCCATGGGGCTGCCCGATCCAACTCCAAGCTGGAACCCGCTCCATGCTGCTCCTCGCAAGTTTCACCAAGAACACAAACGTGAGATGGCGATCGAGAGGAAACAAAGTGAGATCCTCCAAGTTTAAAGGCAGGAACAGTACGAGCAGTGATCCATCTTTGGACCCACAGACAAAGAGATAGCATGTTTGCAATCTGGAACTCACGAAACACGATAAAGCAAACAGTAGGAAACAAGCCCACCACGAGAAGATCGATCAAACACTCTAGAGGATATAGAAGCTTTGCCAGGAGAAGGAGAGCTTACAGTTCGTGGCGGAGGAGGGCGAGAGGATCAAGCTCCGGCGGATAGGAATGACGAGCTCGGGAGGAACTGGAGCTCTGGCCATCATATACTTGAAGATGAGCGCTTGGTGTTCTAGCTCCGCCCACTGTGACGCTGTGAATGGGAAGTAGTGGAGCTGCTGCTGCTGCTGCTGCTGGAACGCTGTGCATCACGAATCCATCCAGCCATGACCATCAAGTTTCTTACGCGCTCGATCGAGAGAAATCAAAACAAGGAGGTACCTGGAGAGGAGATGGAGTGTGGCTGCTGCTTGATCGCGCCAGCAAATGGGTATGATCCTCCTTGCTGCTGGAACAAATGCCTCGAGTACTGCTGCTGGAAGAGCATCCCTCCCGGATCCGCCAGGAGCGCCGCGGAGCTGCTGTGGTGATCGTCGGGGGAGGGCGACGAATTGGATTCTTGCTGCTGCTGCCTGGCCGAGGAGAAGGAGTCCGTCCTGGACAGCTTCATCGATCGGCTTCCCTCGTGGCGATCTTCGCCAAGCTCCAGGATGGGTCTACATTGCTTGAGGATGCGAACGTCGCCGCCCGGCTCCACGGAGCCGCTCAAGCTGAAATCCATGGCATCAATCGATCGAGATCGATGGATCCAGGGGTGGGATAGCTACTGCGATTCTCTCCTCGCTCTAAGGAAGGAGGAACTATATAGTTTTGACGGAAGAACTTAGTAGAAGGAGACGTGAAGAAGAAAGAGATCACACACTCTCGAATGGATCTCGTGTGTTCTTCCGGGAGTTTCTCTAAGTTAAATGCTTGGGTGATACGAAAAAGGAGGAGGCAGCTTTAAAGATGCTGTGGAAGAGCAGGCAAAAACACACACAAGACTGGCAGGGCACACAAAGCAAAAGTGATAGTTGGGCTCAAGCAATCAAGCCTGGAAGATCGATTTGGGGGTGTTTGGATTGGATCTCTACAGGCAGCTGGATGCGCTGCTGCTGCTGCTGCTCGGAGGATCCGCGGCGCTGCTGCTCTTGTGCCATGGTGGAGGAAGTATCGCTGCTGCGGCGGCAATGCTTGCTGTTCAAGAGAGCTGTGGGCAAATTGAGAGCTTGGATGCTACCGCGGCTGCCAGTGCTGCCACTCCAATGGATCATCATCAATTCCTCATCCTGTTCCAGAGCTTGCCCCATCAATCACTCGACGCGATCGATGGATTGATCAATCGTCTTTGTGGGAAAGAAAGAAAGCGAGCTTTCCAATCCAATCCAATCCAATCCAAAATCGCTCACTCTACTGTAGCTAAGTAGAGGGAAAACGGATTAACATCCCACATCTCTCTTTCTCTCTCTCTCGCTCTCTCTCTCCCTCGAGAGGTTTAGGTTGCAAACTTGATGCCTGGATTCAAGGAGCAAAACTATATGCCCCGCGAATATTCCACGCGTCCAACGTAAACCCTAAAACCCGGCAGGGAATCGAGCGCGTGACGCGTCACCGGTCTTACATTAAAAAACAAAGAAATATCTCACCTGGCCTTCCTTTACACCCTTGGCAGGGCACGGTAAAAACAAAAAAGGAAAATTACCTTGTCATTGACCGGGGGCGGGCGTGGTGAAACCTTGCCAGATAAGTTAGCTAGAGAGATAGCAGTACCAATACCAGCCCACCTAACCACAATAACCCACCACCCACAGCCGTGGCCAAATAGCAGATGCCGCCAAACGCTGGTATCAGGCGCATATTCACTGGATAATACGAGGCCCTCCACCATACGAAGTACAATACAGCAAGGGCATGGGACTTCTGGCAGGGCAGTCAGAGCCTGCGAGGCTTTAAATGCGAGCCACCTACTCTCATGCCATCATTCCCTCAACCATTGATTAAACTCTTCCAATCTTCGCTTCCATTCCAACGGTTTAAAACTTAACTAAGTTACCCAAGAACCCTAAAAAGTTCTTAAGCGGGTCATGCATTTCTTGAGCCCCCTATGCCTCCACGAACGACAATTGTCACATGTGTGCATTAGGGGGGTTATGTCATTCATGACAAACGAGTTACGCAGCGAGGGGACGAGAGAGAGAGAGAGAGAGGCGAAGAGATCGGATCTTCCAAAGGAAAGCATTGCGGGGGAATTTTGTAATGCCCGGGGCATTTGTTTATGGTTTGGGCAGCAGTCAATCCGAGAGAAAACAAATGGAGCGTTTTCATTGAACTCTCAGCCCCAGGAAAGACGAAGACGCGAAGACGACCTAAACTTTGCCGCCATTGGGCATATTTTACAAATCATATGGAGTGGAGGGTTGGCCCCTTGGCTTGCGGAAAAGAGAAAAATGCCTTCGTCGGGGATAATCATGCGCATTTCCTCGGGGTTTGGGCTAATGAGTGGACACACATGGAAGTTGCTATCGGCTGCTTTTGTGGATGATCGATAAAAATTGCTAGCATTGGATTGCATGGTTCGAAAACAATGATATAATCTCAATCTGGGGTAACGAAAAAATTAAATCGCGGAGGTCCATTGGGCATTTGGTCACATGCAGGTTGACGTTGAATAAACCCAATCTTTTGAAATGGGCGAATATCTCCGAGATACGCTTCCTTTGTCACCATCAGCGGAAATGGCAAGAAACAAAAGCGTGACACGAGTGGTCGGAGAGAATCGAACCCACGCCAGGTGCCACATCCACAGCTCACACGCCACGTGTCTTTCCATTTTACGGTCGACCAAATGCCGGCAAGCGGCAGCCGCTGTCGGGTAGCGGACAGAATATGCCACTCGCGCGGGAGTGGAGGAATGTTGTTTGCCTCCTAAAACTTTGCCTTTGTGTCAATTCTCTCTCGCATCAAAGCTAACCGAATTTAGATCAAAGCTAAGCTTTGCAAGAGTGTGATTTAATCTGGCAAGTGGACACATGGTGGCGCATGTGCCCCTTAACAAAAGGTGAAACGATGCCTCCTTTTTCTTCCTTTTGGGGGCGGCGCGGATCGATTCCCTTCCCCGGGTCAGGTCGTGTTTGTACGGTTAGAATGGCCACCACGTCAAGCCGTACGTACGGGGCGCAACAGGAAATTGGAAAGAATAATCAACGCGCCACCCCCCATCGTGCTAAAAGGTGGCCATGCTCTTTGATTTACATATATCTGAGATCGAGGTGTGGTTGTTTCATTGGTGGCTTCGGAAGGCACGATTTCAAAGGGTCATACGTGTATACAAAGCCGCGAGGGAAATCTATCTAGAGTGTGGACCACGCAAGAGATCTCCTGGGTTGACCAGTGTTTTTTGGATTTTGGCGGGAACATTTAGGTTTAGGTCTAGGTGCTTGGCTATGGCGGTTCTTTGGCGATCTCGTTTCTCAGGTGTGTGATCCTTCTCGGCGATCTATTCGAGAAGAAGCGCTTCTACGTGGTGCCTTGCTTGTGAATGGATGTTTGCATTTCCAGCATTTGTTTTGTAGAGCTGCTTGCTTCATCCGGTGGATGAGAAGTCCCCATCAGCTTGATCGATTGGAGGGTAAGGAAATTTTGTGGAGCAAGTAGGAAAAGTTTCCGGATGGTTTGTTTTCCAGTCAGCGTCAATTGAATGCCGGATCATTCTGGATTTTGAGTTTAAACTTAAAACTTAGCTCAGGAAGTTGTTCCAGGATCCGGCAGCGAAGATGTAGCAGTTGTATTGGATAATTTGATCTATTGGAGGGTGAGAAAGTGTTTGAGCAAATAGGAAAAGTTTTTGGATGTTTTGTTTTATCAACTCAATGCTGGATCATCCTGGATTTTAAGCTTTCCAACTGGAGAAGTTAAGACTTTGGATGATATGTCTGAGTTCCAGGGAGCGAAGATAGTAGTATTGCGCAGTTCAATCTTAAGTTTGTGCGTCGAGGTACGTCCCTTCGCAGGAACTTGGTGAATAAAACAGTGTTTCTTTCAGCTTCGTCAATGCGGAGCACTGCGCGGCACATATTTTTTCCCTTTGCCTGGATGAACACTACAGGCAAGGTACTCTTGAGATGCTCACAGCATCCTGACGATTGGTTCCTTTCATCTTTTTTGTCGCTGAATCAGGCGATAGGGACATTTGAAAACGCAACGCAAGCACCGTAACGTAACTATGCTCTTTGCGAACAAAGTTTGTTCGTGCTTCCAAGGCCTGCGCAATGGCATCTTCCGCTGCCAAGGCTAGAAAAGCTTTTCCCGGTGCCAGCGGAATTGAACGAGTCTGAATATGCTAGAGGTACGTTACTTTTTTACATCTCTTCACAATAGACTCGGTCAGTTCTTCATTTTTTTTTCTTTCGTTTCTCTTTTGAAACATCTTCTCCGCTCGGAGGTACCACCTGTTGGCAATGATGGTGTTGATATGAACCCCGAATGCGTGAATGCTAAAGTTCTAGTGATGTGTCTATCTTAGCTGGCTGCAGGGCTGAATTCATGAGCGTTCGGTATCTGTGACACCCCCAAGTACGCAGTATGTATCCGCTGATAGTTAACTACCTGATAAAACTGTTTTGTGTTTTGTGCAGAGAGCTCGCGAAGGTTTGTCAACGAGAGAAATATCCCTGTGGCCTGAATATTTTTTGAATTTCTCTGGGGGAGCTAGCTTGTTTGGTCGGCTGTGCAGCTCGTCGTAAGCATTGCGATTGTAGAACACTGGAGGCTTGTATCGATGCCTTTAACTTGTGACGGTACCGTTCTTTCGATATTGTTTAAGTTGATATCCTTACGGGTCTTTGAATTTGTTCTTGGCGAGAGCTCAAACGATGTTTTCGTTTCGACAACCACGCAAGTACAGTATCTACAGCGGGTGTCCGAAAACAACGGAGCTAGCAAAGTGGGATACCAAATGAGCAACAAAGACAGATGAGTCTACTTGCAGTGTCTTCCTAAATTCTTTCCTTCCCAGGTGAGGCTAGGCAGCAACAAGGCGTGAAGGGGAAATGTAAGGCAGCTGAGTTTGTATTTAACTCTTTGGCGGGACTGCGGACTGGAGGGATTTACAAGCAGGACTATAGCGTGCATTGTACAGCAACATGTGGAGGATGACGAGACGACTGAGAGCGTTGATACAACTTTAGGAGACGGAGGATTTGGAACTTTGGCGTTGTAGAAGGTACGAACCATTTCTCTTTAATTTTTTTCTATCTCTCTTTTGTAAAACTTTTTTCTTTCTTTCTTCTTTCTTTTGTTTGTAGGCTGTTCGCGAATGATGCTGTCAAGTGCATGGTGCGCCCAAGTTTACATGAATTGAGCAAGAGGGAGTGATACGGAAGGTGACATCGAGCTCGACGGGTGTCGTGCCATTCAAGGGGGAAAGCGAGCACAAGCAAGTTGCAAGAATGTCGCTCACATCGTGACAGCAGTCGCCAGGCTGAGCTCCTGGCAAGAGGCAAGCGAGAGCCGATAGCAAATTGCAATTGCGTCCTGGTGGTGGTAGTGCCGCTGGAGGCGGAAGAAACTGAGCTCGACAAAAAGCCATCAGAGTGACTGTCAGCAAAGCAAGCACGCAACTCCTCTTGCCACCAAACAAACGATATTCCGTTGAATCCATCATCTTTCGCTCGTAAGTTGCTTTACGAAACTCTTTCCTTGGCTCTAAGAATGTCCGTGAACTCCTTTTGTTGCAGGGAAACGATAAGATGGTTGTAATTCAGCACGAGCAGGCTCTCCAGCAGAGAGAAAGAAGAAAAAGAAAATGGAAATGCTGTTTCTTAAGGAAGGGTGTGAAGAAACTTGCACCAAAGCATTGATGAGAACGCCTGGAGAGATTCTCTTTCCGGCCAAGCCAAGCGCCTCTGTGCTGTTTGCGACGTCGCCTATTTGTTTTTGCCTTTCCCTCTGCCCCCAGGTTCGTAGAGATCTCTTCGATTTGTTTTGATTTCCTCCTGACCCTGGAAAATTATAGTGTGATGGTTGAGAGAGACCAGACCAGCTTTAAAACTATTTGGAAACAGCCAGCCAGGACCCAGGACGGACTTCTCGCTCAGGAGGTGAAAGAGAGGAGCGATTCAAGCTCCATTTAAAAGGCCTCCTTTTGTGTAAGTGCGTGTTTTTCCTTTGTTTTTTTATTTCTAACATGCGAGGCCCACCTTGCTTGTATTCAATGCATGCAGTTGCGTGGAGAAAGCTAGAAATTTTTTACATTTTTTTCCGGGGGGTTTAGGCGTTGTTTATGGATAGTTTATGCAAAGATGGGCGTCAAGTTAAACAAGTCGCTCACTCCATGTGGTGTGTTTGAGAGGAAAATCACTTTGGCCACCTTTACCTTAGCTGGGGCTCTCACATTCACCACCACCTTTGACTTTGCCCGAGAAATAATCTAGACAAAGGAATTCCAGTTCGATTCCAAACAGTAGCAAAACACCAACAAGGCGGTGCTTGTCTATGATTGCAATGCCTCCAAAATAATCATCAACAATCAGTCCTTTTCTATCGACACAAGGAGGAAAGAATTGTCTTCCAAGTCTCCTTAGATTACATTTAATCCAACATTGTTTTTCACTTCTAACCACTTGAGGGCAATTGCGCTTATAGTAAGTCAAGCTAAAAAGAATGGTAGTAAAATACAAAACCAAAATGAATGCCAGGCTGGGGTAAACCACGTGTGAAAAGTAAATAGGGCCTAGACCGTAATCAATGGCATGTAGAGGTTGAGCCTAGCCCTGAGGAATACGAGAATACGTAAAAAAGTGAATAAACACAAAAAATACGGGAGAGTGGAAGAAGTAAATGTGAAAAAAAAAGAAAGAGTTACGTTAATTTGGATGAATAGACCAGCCTAGCTATCACCACAGTAAAACTGCTTGGACTAAGTCATGCCACAGGTGTACGGCCACGGGCCGTGGGAGAGGCCGGCGGTCAGGGATAACGGAGGAACATTCGCGGCCGTTGGATGCCGCGGGTGGACGGCGGAGATCCGGGTCCCGCGTGACGGAATGTTCTGTCACGTGACAGGAGCGGCGCCGCCGCGGCGCCGCCAGGATGGGCGCGGTGTCAGCGGGATGTGACACCGCCGTCACTGCTCTGCCGAGGAGACGAGATTTTGGTAATCGAGGGGGAGAAAAAGAAAGAAACCATCGATTCGATCTGGAAAAGAAATGCTTTTGTTGATTCGTTAAGCCGGAAATCTCCTCCAAAACAATTGGGTTTTGGGATATGGCGGAGGAGATCAAAGGACAAAGAGGAGAGAGAGAGAGAGAGAGGGAGGGACTACTAGTCTTTGGCAAGAACGGGCAGTCTAGCAGCGCAGAGGTCGGCCAGAGCGCACAGCGCGAGCAGAGCGACGAGACAGTGAGTGGCACACAGATTTTTGGAGCACAGAGTGAGAGAGAAAGAGAGAGAGAGAGAGTGAGTGAGAAAGCTTGAGAGGAAGAAGAAGAGATTTTCTCCTTCTGGATCATCCATCACGAAAAAGAGTGTGATGGTGGTGGTGGTGGCGATTCCTTGATTTCGCTCCAGTGGGCATTCATGGCATAGCTAGCTCGTCGCCATCCAGCATTGGCGGAGATTGGATTTTTGGATCGGGGCTGGCGGGGCGGAGAGAGCGCCGCGCGGTGGCGGTGGGATTGGAATTCTGTGCCCGTTCCGTTCTACGATCTCTTTCTTCCACCTCCGCCTTGAAACCAAGAGCTCTCTCTAGCCGAGAAAGGAATGTGGGTCTCTTGCTCTTCTTCTTCCTCTCACGTTTGCGCTTGAGAGCTTTGGCTGCACGATAGGATGGCAGCGGCGGCAGCGGCAGCACTGGAGAGCGCCAGTCCAGCGCCAGTTGATAGATGGATAGATGATAGATCATGAGCTAGGATAGATTCACGCAACATCCGCACGCCATCGCCGAGAGTTCTTCCTTTCTTGCTCCTTTCCTGGAATGTGGGATCTGGGAAGAGCGAGAAGAGCTCGTGTAGAGTAGATCGCAAGAACAGGACGGCGATATGGCGAGTAGTACCAGCAGCGATTGAAAGCTCTCGCGGTGGGCTTGCGATAAAAGATGGGATCGATGCACCACTTTGTGTTATCTTTGCTCTTCTTGGCTGCTCTTCTTGGCAGCGCTTCCGGCCTCTCAGACGATGGTCAGTATCGATCGATCGATCTCCTTTCTTCTTCTGTCTTTCTTCGCTAGTCTATGAACTGAAGTTCTTTTTCTTTTCATGGGTTTTCTTCGCCATGGATCGATCTTGTCACTCACAGGGGTGGTGCTGCTCGAGATCAAGAAATCGCTCAACAATGCCGACAACGTTCTCTACGATTGGGAAGGAGCAATTGATCGCGACCCGTGTTTCTGGAGGGGTGTCAGCTGCGATAATGTCACGCTTGCAGTGATTGGCTTGTAAGTTCACGGGAGGATCATAACGCACGCATTATCATCATCATCGTCTTCGCAAGGCTCCATCTCCGCTCTCTCTTTTCTCCTCTCCTCTTTTCTCCTCTCTTTTCCATCTTGTCTCATGCTGGATCTTCCATCTTTAACTTACACAAGTTGCGATTTGTTTTTGCGGCCAGGAATCTGACTCAATTGGGACTTTCCGGAGAGATCTCGCCAGCTTTTGGAAGGCTCAAAAGTCTCCAGTATTTGTAAGTGGTGTTGCGTTGCCGTGAGAGAGAGAGAGAGAGAGAGAGAGAGAGAGAGAGTATGTGTGTTCTTCCTTTAATTTTTTTTCCCTCCGTATCGTTGTGGGGACCAAGAAGACAAAGTTTATAACTCCTGCGTGTTTTGTGTGTAGGGACTTGCGAGAGAACAGCTTGTCTGGACAGATTCCAGACGAGATTGGGCAGTGCGTCAACTTGAAAACCATGTAAGTTCCTTGCTTTTTTCGCGTCTCTCTTTCTTGTAGTACTTCAATGTTTGGAACTATTCCAGAGATCTTTCGTTCAATGCATTCCACGGAGATATTCCATTCTCGATCTCGCAACTCAAGCAGCTCGAAAATCTGTACGTTATACCCGCGCTTCGTTCGAAGAGCTAATGAATCTCTCGCTACTTCAAACTGTGCAGTATACTGAAGAACAATCAACTTACGGGGCCGATCCCTTCGACGCTGTCCCAGCTCCCGAACCTTAAGACTCTGTTCGTTTGAATACTCTCCCTCTCTCTCTCTTCTCGTTTGCTTTTCTGATCTTCAAATCTTTACCAGGGACTTGGCACAGAACAAGCTGACAGGAGAAATACCAACTTTGCTCTACTGGAGTGAAGTTTTGCAGTACTTGTGAGTTGCTTCGAGTGATCTTGCTTCGTATGAAACTAAGACACGAGCTTTTGGCAGAGGTTTGAGGGATAATCTCTTGACTGGGAACTTGTCCCCCGATATGTGCCGGCTTACGGGGCTGTGGTATTTGTAAGTTTCCTGGAACACCTTTTCTATCTCACAAACTCGTTATATCACCGTTTCTTCTCCTTGATTGCTTACAGTGATATTCGGAGCAACAACATCACAGGTCCCATTCCAGAAAATATTGGAAACTGCACAAGCTACGAGATCCTGTGAGTATTTCTTTGTCGTGTGTTCACTTTCTTATTGATTTCTTTCCGTACTAAATTGCCGCAGAGACCTCTCGTATAACCAGCTGACTGGCGAGATTCCTTTCAACATCGGCTTTCTGCAAGTGGCAACCTTGTAAGCTAGCCTACTTGATCTCTTAGAATATCCATGCCGTTGTTTTACTTTGTGAAAGGTCTCTGCAAGGAAACAAGCTTGTTGGCAAAATTCCAGACGTGATCGGTCTTATGCAGGCTCTGGCAGTTCTGTAAGTGATTTTATCTGCGATGTGTTTTTGTTCTCACTCGCTTTTGACAGGGATTTAAGTAACAACTTCCTTGAAGGATCGATTCCTTCGATACTTGGCAATCTTACTTTCACCGGCAAGCTGTAAGCCATGGCGTAGAATCTCGTTTCTATGAGAGATTGATTTCTTGTTGCTGTAGATATCTCCATGGAAACATGCTTACTGGAGTCATTCCTCCGGAGCTTGGAAATATGACGAAGCTCAGCTACTTGTGAGTATTTTTTAGTTGTTTTCTAAGTTTTTTTCTCCTGACAGAAGACTTAACTAGCCATTACTTCTTTCAGGCAACTCAACGATAACAATCTAACAGGACAGATTCCTCCCGAGCTGGGAAGCTTAAGCGAGTTGTTTGAGCTGTGAGCTTGCAGTGATGTAAAAAATATCGAAATCTAGCTAATTTGGTTTCTCGACATTGCAGGGATCTTTCCAACAACAAGTTCTCTGGACCATTTCCAAAAAATGTGAGCTACTGCTCGTCCTTAAACTACATGTAAGTTTCCTTGAATCTTTTCCGTCGTCACTATTGATACTTTTGCGCACAGTAACGTTCACGGAAACATGCTAAACGGCACCGTGCCTCCAGAGCTTCAGGATCTGGGAAGCTTGACTTATTTGTAAGTTTCCGTAACTCTTTTTTCTCGATCGATCGTTTCTCACGCGAAGCGTTTAGAAACTTGTCATCTAATTCGTTTTCGGGAAGGATTCCTGAAGAACTAGGACACATTGTCAACTTAGATACAATGTAAGACCAGAAGTTTTTCCGGTACAACTTGACAATCTCTTGATTTGTACCAGGGATCTCTCAGAAAACATTTTAACCGGGCACATTCCCAGATCAATAGGCAACCTTGAACATCTCCTCACGCTGTAAGTATGCTAGCTTCACGAACTGAGGTGAACTGACAATAATTTGTGTGTGTGTTTTTCTCAGTGTTCTAAAACACAACAAGCTCACTGGAGGAATTCCGTCTGAATTTGGTAGCTTGAAAAGCATCTATGCAATGTATTGTCTCTTGCAATTCACGACGCTCTTTGCCAGCTTTGATTCACGGGAACTTACTTGCAGGGATTTGTCGGAGAACAATCTGTCGGGGAGCATACCGCCAGAGTTAGGACAGCTACAAACACTGAATGCACTGTAAGAGCTTTTCATCCTTTTGCTTCTTTATGGACTGTTCTTGTTTCAGACTTCTGGAAAAGAATTCCCTGTCAGGATCGATACCACCGCAGCTTGGAAACTGTTTCAGCCTCAGCACCTTGTAAGCTTTTCTTTCGTTTCTTTGTGAGATACTCACACTATCTTGTCAGGAACTTGTCATACAACAATCTCTCAGGAGAGATACCAGCGAGTAGCATCTTCAATAGATTTTCATTCGAAAGGCATGTTGTGTTTGATAGTTTTAGCTTCCTTCTAACTTTCAGACTTGCAGCTATGTAGGAAATCTACAGCTCTGTGGTGGATCCACGAAACCAATGTGCAACGTCTACAGGAAGAGGTCATCTGGTATATAAAATCTCTGTTTTTTTTCCACCTCGCCTTCTACTCATCCATATTTTTTTTTCATCTTCGAGTAGAAACGATGGGAGCATCAGCGATTCTTGGCATTTCGATCGGCTCAATGTGTCTGCTACTGGTCTTCATCTTCCTGGGCATTCGCTGGAACCAGCCCAAAGGATTCGTCAAAGCCTCGAAGAACTCATCCCAGAGTAAGCAAAGCATCGCGAAGAAAAAAAAGCAAGAAAAAAAACTGACACGCTACTTGAAAACCAGGCCCTCCCAGCCTCGTCGTTCTACACATGGACATGTCTTGCCACACTTACGACGATATCATGCGCATCACAGACAACCTCCACGAGAGATTTCTCGTCGGCCGCGGTGCCTCCAGCTCCGTCTACAAATGCACGCTCAAGAACGGCAAGAAAGTTGCGATCAAGCGGCTCTACAATCACTATCCACAGAACGTCCACGAGTTTGAGACGGAGCTCGCGACTCTAGGCCACATCAAGCACCGAAACTTGGTAAGCTTGTATGGATACTCGCTATCCTCGGCCGGGAACCTCCTCTTCTACGACTTCATGGACAATGGAAGCCTCTGGGACATCCTCCACGGTATAGCTTCTCTTCTTCTTTGCAAAGCTCTAAATCTTGTGGAAACTTTCCAGGACCAGTGAGAAAGGTGACGCTCGACTGGGACGCGCGGTTGATCATCGCGCTGGGCGCTGCGCAGGGGCTGGAGTACCTCCACCACAACTGCAGCCCCCGGATCATCCACCGGGACGTGAAGTCCTCCAACATTCTCCTGGACGAGAGGTTCGAGGTCCATCTCTCCGACTTTGGCATCGCCAAGAGCATTTGCTCCGCGAGCACGCACACGTCCACGTACGTGATGGGGACGATCGGCTACATTGATCCGGAGTACGCCAGGACGTCGCGGCTCAACGAGAAATCCGACGTCTACAGCTTCGGGATCGTGCTCCTGGAGCTCATCACGCGGCAAAAGGCCGTGGACGACGAGAAGAACTTACACCAATGGGTAAAGCTTCATGGACGATGGATCTCCTCTCACAAAACTTGGGTGATCGATCTCGCAGGTGTTGTCTCACGTCAACAACAAGAGCGTGATGGAGATCGTGGATCAAGAGGTGAAAGATACGTGCACGGACCCAAACGCGATCCAGAAGCTCATCCGCTTGGCGCTGCTGTGCGCACAGAAGTTCCCGGCGCAAAGACCCACCATGCACGACGTTGTCAATGTGATCTTGACGCTGCTTCCTCCTCCCACCGTCAAGAAATCCTCGGCCGGAGCTGCCAATGCCGCTGCCAATGCCGCTGTGGATTCCTCTGCGAATGCCGGTGGAGCAAACCGGAGGTATGTGGACGACTACGTGGATAGCAAGCACAGGGACAATCTCTCGGCCAGCAGCACCACCTCGGGCGGCCACCTCTTTGTCAAGTTTGGCGAAGTTATCTCCCAAGGGTGAAAAATTTTCCCACTTCTTGTATCATATAACTAAAATACCTACTCTGTTTTTAGGGTTCATCTTTTAGGGTTCTTCACAAGAAACTCTCCCTCTTTCTTTCAATTAGATTTTAGTTCAACATTTGCAGTGATCTAGAGATCACAAAATCAAAGAGCCAAAAACTGGGGATGGAGGAAACAATAGACTGATTGCATCGCTTACAGCTCCAGCTTGAGCTCCTCGTTCTCCTTGGTGAGGAAATGGATGACATAGGGCAGAACCCTAATGACGCCCACCCAGATGCCGAACTGCGTCAGATGGCTGCGGAGCTGCCGGTGCGCCTCCGCCTTGTCGGGCAGCTGAATCTGTCCCAGAAACATCCTGCCACGAGCGCGCGTTGCTGCCGCCCAACCAAGAACCCTAACACCAAAACTCTAGAGAACCCTAAAAACGCTTAAAGGCCAAGTACTTAAAAAGGGAAAACCCTAATAAAAAGGATGGAATTGTGCTGCTATTGGGATTAGACACTTAGTTGTTTTCCTTGCAGATGTCACTTAGAGGGAAGAACCTACCCGAATTGCCAATAGGACTCAGCCAACAATCCATAGCCATGCCAGTAGTGTCGCCTCCAACGTTGTGGTCACAATTTGAGCAAGAGATGACAGTCTTTGTGGGATCCCTGGATGATACGCAGATATTCGACGAGAGTGCTACTGTTCATCCTCTTCCAGTGACAAAGTAGGAATCAGAGGTGCCACGTTTGGAGAGCATGGCAGCGGAGTTACGAATTCCACTTCTTTATGTAGCTGGTGGAAGTGGTCCATCATACTCATACACGGACCATGTAATCTTCGACTCAAGACTTCCTGAACCAGCTGGGAACCGGAAGAAGCTCTCTCGTCGTGTTTTTGGAGTTGAGTGGGCCATGGGAGTGGAAAATTTCGGGATGAGACTTGCGACTAGCTCTGGAGGACAATCAACAGGGCTCAAAGCTTATCAAAGACATTCAACAACTGTTTGGTGACATGGTCATGGACGAAACACGTATCGGCTTTATCTCGAACTATTCACAGACTATTTTCTTCCGGAGGATTGATGCAACCAGCAAGACATTGCAGTATTCACCTGTGATTCGTATGGATGGTGGTGCACCACTCGGAGCCTTTCTGTTTGTTCTTGTGGCAGCTCACAAGGACAGTGCCACCACAAAGCTCCATATGCAGCGGGAATTGGTGCCGTCGACTCCGGTTCGAGGTTCCTCGTTGAAGCTACCGAGGTGCAGCCACTATCAACGCTATGACATGTCAATAGTGGTTGCAGAAGAGAGGTTTCATGAGCTCTCTGCTCCAACCATAAATGAGCTTGGTTTGGCAGGTATGCATTCAGAGTAGAGTCGAGTGATAGTTTTGATTTGTGTTCATTGTGTTGCAGGTATGGGGAAATATGGAAACGTTTTAGATCTTGTTTTGAAGACATTCGATCTACGGGAGGAAGAAGCTATTAAAGCTTTCGTGCAAGAGGAAAGGGCATCCACGAGATCTATCCTCCGATGTTGGCCGTCTTCCTCACTGTAACGTTGTCTACTTGGCTCTGTCGGACGAGGGCTCAAGAAGGCTAGGTGATGTGGTCACAACAAGTTCTATGTCTTTGGAAGTAAGACACGGGCTACTTGAGATTCAAGTTCTACATGGGGATCTACAATGTTCCCATGTTTTAATTTCGGATGGCAAGCCAAAGTTTCTGGACTTCGATCGTGCAATTTCCAATCCTTCACATGAAATGATAGAAGAGCGCACAGTTGGAGGAGCTTCTAGTGGAAGTTAGTTAAAAAATGAAGCTAGTTAAAGACTAGTGACTGTCAATCTATGTAAATCGTTTGTGAAGGTGACTATCATGACTTTATCATTTGCCTTTAGAAAACCTGGGGAAGGTTTAGTATTAAGATTCTTACATATACACTAATATAAACAGTATTTACCATCTATGAGTAAATGTTGAGGGTTGAATTTGATTCATAAGCGTTCATCCTCACCATGAATTAAGCTGAGCTCTAGATGTGTGAGCAGCTCTAGGGTTTTCTCAATATTCTAGAGATATGATGGATAGATTAACAATTGTATTTAAACTTTGGCCTTTCCTTTTCAGTTCCTTGCTTGATGCTCATAACACAATCCCTGAAGAGCATTATCCACACCCACAACTCTTAAGCAAAGAATCAGAGCAATTTCAGTAGGAACTGGATAATATTTCTAGCCACCAGAACTTAATCTAGAGCCTTACCATGAAGGCACTTGCATTCGTGAGCATTATATATACTTTGTTACATAATGGACAAACTCTATGTGAGAGATTGCCATGCAAGTAAAGCTATAGTAATTTTAAAAAATAAAGGAATATACTATAATACAATGTATTTTTAATATTCTTAATCAATTAATCAAGTAACATCTAAAAGGAAATAGTACCAGATTTAGGTTTAGGTTATTATATATATCTTCATTAGGAAAACTTTATTAGAAAATGAATATAAATATTAAAATCTAATATTTGTTAGTCATAAAAATAAGCAATGTGGTGTTAATTAACTTTTTATCAAGAAGGTTAGTAAGTGAAATTTAAGCTCAAATTGAGTAAATTATAGAAATATATATTTAAAATTGTGTTTATCAAGATGAGTTTTGATAGCATTAACATCTATTAAAAATTAAATTTTTTACCAAAATTTACCAAATATCTTATTGATATAAAATGGTATTTATAAATATTTAAGTTTAAGTAGTTTTATTCTCATTTTAAAAATATATTATATATAATAAAGATAATTATTATATATATTATTGTGAAAGTATTTATATTATTATCACATTTAGTATTTATCACAAAGAGCAAAGGTCCTCAGCATACATATTATATACCTATATTATATTATAGTTTAAATAGTAAAATAACACAAATTTGTAAATTCTTTGAATTTTTTAAAATAATTTAAAAAAAAAATAGTATATTCAACATGTTTCTATAGTTTCTTATACTATATATATATATATATATATATATATATATATATATATATATATATATATATATATAACACTTCACACACCTATAAGTATTGAACTATTAAAAACCATGCAATATCTTTTATTAAAACTATTAAATGGTACGATTTTAGTGTTGCTCTAAACACACATTTATTTATAGTATTATTATTATTATATAATTTAATGAAATGGGATCCAAAATGATCTACTCCTGATGAATAACTCTTTTAGTACACTACTAAAATAAATGATTTAAAATGATTTATTTTAAAAGAAGGGATTCAGAAGATTAGCATGAGTCTGAATCCCTCTGTGGATGTGGATCATCAAGCTTAAGTTTTTGTTTTCCTATTTTAATTTTGAAAGATTAGATGCACTCTTGGTGTGTGGGTCACCCATTCTCTCCGTGATCCCAATTTCAGGGAGCATGTATCCTAATATAGCGCTGACTTCTACTTTATCTCTCTAGATGAACGTGGTCGAAATCGGCTGAAGGTTCACTGCATCTGGACGGTCGAAACAAGCCGAGAAAAATCCAGTTGAGGTGAACACTATGACAACATAGAAAAAACACAGAAGGCCACTGGAAGAGAAGCTTCCTTTGTTTTTAACACGTTAGATAGATTTGGGCCAGCTCAAAGCACGATAAGCATGTAAAGAAAAAATAAAAATCGTTCTCAAACCAAACCATGACACGGTACGTCCAGCGCAATTTCGTACGTGTACGACACGGAGTGGCCCTTGGACGCATCCAAGAGCCACTCCAAGACATGCATGAGCATCGTTTAGTTTAAGTACTTCGCATATCCGGGCCAAGTTATGCACATATGCTTTGGCTAAACTAACTAATCACCCAAGTTTAGCAAGTTCTCTTTGACGCCCATGAAACATTGCTTTCTTTATATAGTGACGCGGCTACTCGACCGAGCAGGGCCTTGATCCCAAAACACGTGTCGGTCACTAGAAACTGGCTGCATGTACGGTACTCCGTCTGTGGTGGTGGTGAGCCGGTCCGTGACCAGTAGTGGACCTAAGCAAGTCTCTCGTGATTTAGATAAAGCCGGTCAGCTAGCCGGTGTGCTCATCTTGGCCATTGGGGGTGTTTTAATCGTTGATTAGCGGCTGGGATTGGGTGGAGCGTCTATGCTTTGGCTGCACGTCATCGGGTAATAACCAACAGTAACAATGTGACCACGCTGCACTGTTGCAGCCGTTGGATGGGTCGCTCATCGACGGCCGCGTGCTGGAAGCTTGGATAGGAGAGGGGGGTCGCTCTCTCTATATTTCGCTGCGGGCTGGCATTTCTAGATCCGTGGCTAGGGCTTTGGATCGCTGCGAGGGAGCTGAAACGTCGCGCAAGGTTTCTTTCTCGCTGTGGCAGCCTTTCCGCGGCGATCGGATGTGTTTTTGATGCACTTCTTGGTGCTAGGGCGGCAGCGATCGCCAATGCGATTCTTTTGATCGATCGAGCATGCCCGCGATAATGCGAGCTGACGGCCTGCCATTGTTTCTTCTTTTTAGAGTCTGGGAGACATAGTGGGATCGCGGCAGGCAGCGCTCGAAATTTCAATCGGGGGCCATGACCTCGTCGCAAGAGTTCTTGGAGGAGGAGGCGGTGGCGGTGGAGGGAAATATCCAGGAGGAGCTGCGCCACCGGTCTCACGGTAGCGGCGGGGGAGAGGAAGCTTTTTCACTGCATCGGGCCACAAAGGCCGAGGTGTGCCAGGAGATTGTCAAGCGGCTCCAGGCGCAGAATCACGAGGCTTTGGAGGATCCCGGATTTCTGGAAGAGCTACAGGCACATTTCAATCGCTTGCCGACGAGGTGAGATCTGTCTTGGAATGCTGGACTGTGGTGACACCGGCTTGGAACCGGGATGAATTGGTGGTGATCCAGGTATGCGTTGGATGTCAACACGGAGAGGGCTGAGGACGTGCTCATGCACAAGCGATTGCTGCAGCTCGCGGAGAATCCCGACATCAGGCCCGTCTTTCACGTCCGGATCGTCCAAGTAAGTGCGTGCCTTTCGTTTCGAGCAGATTCGAATGCGCTCGCTCCCATTCTCCGATACTTATGCTGCGAAAACAATACCTGACCATACTAGGTCCAGCAGCGCTTGGACGAATCAGTACCAGGAGACCAGTGCATGCCCGTGCCTGAAACTCAGCTGTAAGTCTCAGGCTCAGCTACCTATTGCTTCCAAGTCTTAACTAACGATGATGTTGTCTTGTTTCAATCTTTTTTTCTTCCTTCCGTAGTGTACATCCACCTCCTGCATTTGGTTCTTCTCCTAACCTCGAAGCTTTAGTCCTCGATCTGAATAAGCCTTCATCTGATGAAGATCGAGAGAGTCATGCGGATAATTCCCCAAGGTACGATTACGCTTTACATATATCCATCCATCCGCAAAGCAACGGATGTTTCTTGTGCTCAGCCGTGGACTCGCTCAGATCTTTATGCACGAAGTGACGATATCAACTATAGATAAACCCAAGCTTTTAAGCCAGGTAATAGTTTTTGTCCAACCGCCAGTTCAGTAGTCAAGTTTATCTTTCATTCTCTATTGGCAGCTATCGGCTTGGCTTGCCGACGTTGGATTGAATATCCAAGAAGCGCACGCTTTCTCCACTAGAGATGGGTTTTCTCTCGATGTCTTCGTAGTGGACGGCTGGTCATGTGAGGTATGTATCCTTGCGTAGTTGATTTTTATCCAGTGAGATTGCCTATCAGGATACGGATGGCCTACAGTTGGCAATGGAGCGAGCATTGGCTGGCATTGAGGTACTCACTCGTCTCAATTTTCTAGATACTAAGACATTTTCGCTGTTGCAGAAAGAGGCGTGGACCAAGCCGAAATCTCCCACCAAAAGTCTTTCAAATGGCCGCAGGCACGGTCATGTAAAGATTCCTTTTGATGGCAAGGATGATTGGGAGATCGATAGTGAGCAGTTGAAACTGCTGCATAAGGTGGCTTCTGGCTCCTTCGGTGATCTGTAAGATTTTTTCTTGTCGTTTTGTTTTCTTTCCTTGCACTTCAACTTTTTTTTCTTTTTTCAGTTTCCGAGGAGTGTACTGCGGGCAAGATGTTGCAATTAAAGTGTTGAAACCCGAGCGTTTGAACGAAGATTTACAAAAGGAATTTGCTCAAGAAGTCTTCATCATGCGGTAACCGCTATAGCATTTCGTAACATTGTAAATTGATCCTTATTCTTCCAGGAAAGTGCGCCACAAAAACGTTGTGCAGTTTATAGGAGCATGCACTAAGCCGCCGAACTTATCTATAGTCACTGGTCTGCAAGCTGTCTCTGTCGAGATTATCGATTTGACTTTGTCCTTGCAGAGTACATGTCCGGTGGAAGTGTTTACGATTATTTGCACAAGCATCGATCCGTTTTAAAACTACCGATGGCACTCAGAGTGGCTATTGACGTGTCAAAAGGAATGGATTATCTGCACCAGAACAACATAGTTCACCGGGATTTGAAAGCGGCAAACTTGTTAATGGACGAGAACGAGGTAGAGTGTAGACTTAGCTAACCTAGATGTTCATATTGTTGACGTGGCTGTCACGTAGGTTGTCAAAGTAGCTGATTTTGGAGTTGCAAGAGTGAAGGACCACACTGGTGTGATGACTGCTGAAACGGGAACTTATCGTTGGATGGCACCAGAGGTAATTGTCAGCCATGATCTGCATGCATTATAACGGAAGGCCGCATTTGCAGGTTATCGAGCATAAGCCATATGACCACAAGGCTGACATCTTTAGTTTTGGCGTAGTTTTATGGGAGCTTTTGACGGGCAAGGTACATGATTTGTCATATCAATTCTTTCTTAATACGAAGGCCTTTTGTTGCAGCTGCCTTACGACTATCTCACACCGTTACAAGCGGCTGTTGCAGTCGTTCAGAAGGTAATATTGACAGAACTTCTGCTACTTGACAGAACGCTTAAAATTCCAGGGGCTTCGACCTGTTATTCCGAAAAACACTCATCCCAAGCTTGCTGAATTGATGGAGAAATGCTGGCAATCAAACGCTGCAGAGAGGCCGGAGTTTTCAATAATTACTCTAGTTTTGCAAGACGTGTATAAAGAGGTAATTTCCTTCTTGAGTCGCGTAGTGCTCACGGAGTATTCCCAGATTGGAGAGGAAGAAAGCGAGAAGAAGAAAAAGTCTGGAATCTTTTCAGCTTTCCGGCGGAACCTGTGACCATTCATTGACATGTACATGGTGATCCAATTTTGCTACTGAGGAGAGGAATTGGCCCCTGCGGATTAGCTTACATGGTTGGCTGACCAATAAGCCAGAGGTACAGGCTCACTGCTGGCGATACTTTTTGGCGCAGTGTTTACTCACAGGTTATAGAACTCCAAAGAAGAATGAGTGGCTGGTTCCAAGACTGTTCGTAGAGGTTGGAAGCACGTAGGATGGTTTCGTGGCTCGTCACGGTAGACAACAGTGTAGTTATTTCAACGTTAACTCCAGGGACTGAGTTCCAGGAAAGCTGGAAGTCTCTAGTCTGGTTCCAAGGTCCCTGGAGCTTGCAATTGGCGGCCCGAGAAGAACCAGAGGTTGGACAGCACGATGTAGGATGTGGCATCACTCACGTCCATCTCCAAGAGGCGTCCGGCCAGCGACGCCCCCTTCTGGAGATTACTGTGACTTCCACAGGCGCCCAGCAAGCACTTCCACTCCAAGGCGTCCGGTTCGAGTGGCATGCTCCAGGCCAGCTCGTAAGCACTGTCCGAGAACCCGGCTCGGCCCAAGAGCGTGATCACACAGCAGTAGTGGTGCTTGATTGGGCGCATCCCAAAGTCAGCTCTCATGGACTGGACGCAGCACCTTCCAGCGTACAAATCTCCGGAATGGCAGAAAGCCAGCATGGCCGAGGCAAAGCAAGCATCGTCGACAGTGTGGATGAGCTTCATCGAGTGGAAGAGATCCAAGGCCTCGGCTGGCTGTCCGTTTCGAGCGTAGCCAGCGAGCATGGAGCTCCAGGAGATCAGATCTGGCGAGAGAGTTCTGTCCAGGATTAGTCTGGCCGCAGTGGTGTTCCCCGCTGCGACGTGCATGGCTAGCAGCGAAGTCCACGAGAGAACGTCCCGGTGTGGCATGAGGTTGAAGAGCTTGATGGCGTCCTCCGCGAGACCGGACTGGCAGTAGGCCGAGAGCATGGCATTCCAGGCAACCAGGTTCCGCTGCGGCACCGAATCGAAGACAAACTTGGCCTGCTCGATCTGTCCAGTCTGAGCGAAAGCCGCCACCATTGTCGTCGCGGAGACGAGGTTTATCTCCGGGATGCTCGAGAAGAGATCCACAGCCTCGTGGACGTGATCGTTCTGCGAGTAGGCCGCGAGCATGGCGTTGAGGGAGACGAGGTTGATCCTTGGGAGCCTTCCAAACAGCGCTCTGGCCTCAGCGACTCTCCGGCTTCGAGCATACGCCGCCAGCATCGCGTTGCAGGAGACCATATCCTTTTGCGGCATCGCAGCAAAGAAATCGATGGCTTCTTCCAGGAATCCGTTCTGGGCGTATCCAGCGAGCATGGCGTTGCAGCACACGACGTCCACCTCTTCCAGGGACGCAATCAGGCGTCGAGCTTCGGTGATATGCCCGGTCCGGGCATAGGCAGTGAGCATGGCGGTGGTGGAGATCAAGTTCCTCTCGGGCATGGCCTTGAACAACCGCCGGCACTCGTCGAGAGATCCGTCCTGTGCACACGCCGAGAGGAGCGCATTCCACGACACAATATTCTGGCAAGGCATTCGAGCAAAGAGCTCCCTGGCCGCCTCCAAGTCGCCGTTGTGGGACGAAGCCGATAGGATGGCGTTCCAGGAAGCCATGTCCCACTCGGGCATCTCCCCAAAGAAACGTCTCGACTCCTGGAGATCGCCGTTCTTCCCGAAGGCCGAGAGCATCGAGTTCCACACCACCTGACTGCGCAGCGGGATCTCGTCGAACACCACCTTGGCTTCCAGCAGCTGCCCGTTCTGGGCATACGCCGCCAGCATCGTCGTCCAGGAAACCAAGTCCTTGGCCGGCATTCGATCAAACAGGAGCTTGGTTTCGGGCAACTTCCTGTTCACCGAGTACGCAAAGATCATGGAGTTCCAGCTGAAACTATCCCTGTGAATCCCCATGGAGTCAAACACCTGCCGTGCTTTCTTCACCAGCCCGGAGCTCCCATACATCTGGATCAATCTGTTCGACACGAGAACCGCCTCGTCCTCCATCTCAAACCCAAAACTGGTGCAGTGATCCATGGCTGCGAACTCTTGGCTCTTGTCTAGAGGAAGACGTACGAGTTGTAGTCGTAGTCTCTCTTCAGGTTCATGAGCGTGCTCACGCCTTCGTGGTGGCAGACGTGAGTGTAGAACTGCTTCTTGTTCCGCGGTGGCGGCAGCGGCGTGAAGGGCCATTGGTGCTCGTTCTTGTACCTCGTCTTGATGCCACCCAGCGGCCGCTTGAACTCGTCAAAGTGCTCGTCTTTGTCGAAGGTGGTGGCGAACTGGTTGTACTTGGTGCTTTTGCGCTTGCCTCTCACGGTTGGCCTTCTCTGCAAATGCTTGCCAGGAACGATGGAGTAGAACTGCACAGAGAAACGATCAAAGCTTGCAATCAAAGACAAGCTAGAGTGTTACCCGCTGAGGAACTTTGCCCTCGTATTCCCTGAAAGGAGGAACCCATTCGGGCTGGTGCGTGTAGCGAGCCGGCTTCTTCGTCGAGCGCCAGTCCTCCTGGAGCGAGGCGTCGAGGTACCAGTCCTCGAAAATGGATGGCCTGTGTCGCGTCGACCTCCACTTATCGTCGCCCTTGCTCTCGTCGACGTGCTTTACAGCGTGCTTGCTCGACCTCCATGGATCGGATCGGTTATCAGGCGGGCCTGGAACTTTCTTCACGCAAGGCCGGAATGGCTTCTCGCTGCGCGAGCCACTTCCAGGATCAATGTAGCGGTGGCAAGGCCTCCACTGTGATAGAACACACACAGTGAGTGAGTGAGAACTTGCAAATAAACATAGAGCAAATGGTTTCGTTACCCCGTCTGGATTTCGATCGATCAGCCGCTGGTCCAGCGTCGATTCTCCAGCGCCAGGGACAGCAGTCCTTGCGGATCGATGTGGTGCCTCATAGCCCACGTCTGGATTGATGTATCTTAAGTTTGGACGAAACTGCGAAGAACAAAGGAACGCTTACCTTCTGGAGCAGTGCCTAGGAGAGATTTCGGATCTTACCGGAGGCTCCTGCGATGGGAACCTCTCGTAATATCCCGAGACGGTAGGGGCCGAGGCACATCGCTCCCGGTGGTAGCGACGGAAATCTCTTCCCATAGTCTTTGCGCTGCATTCCAAGAACTATCAAATCGATGCTCCTAGCTCGATCTGGATCGATAGAAATCGCCATACCTGGATGAAGGAGGAGCTTGGGATCGCAATGGAGCACTGCGACCTAGCTCAAGGCTATCTAGAGACGCGACCACTGAGATTTCCCACTCAAAAGATCTAAACTTCACGCCAACGGCTGGGATTCCCCATCGCCTGTCCCCTTCCGCGGCGGAATGGCTAGGGCATATGGGTTATAAGGCGGCAGTGGAGAAAAATAGGTCCCATTTGATTCTTTGTTCCAGGGTTGGGGTTGGAGAGCGCCGCGCCCAAATGTCTACGCCATCAAGGAAGCGCTTGATGCGAGACTTCAAGCGCCTCCAACACGATCCTCCCGCGGGAATCAGCGGCGCGCCGCAGGACAACAACATCATGCTCTGGAACGCGGTGATCTTCGGGTAGGAATGTAGCCGCTCGACACTAGGGTATCGATCTAACTCTTGGTTTCGTGTTGCAGGCCGGATGACACTCCCTGGGATGGAGGTGAGGTTTTAGAGCTTTTGGATTTTTCCGTGTGTTTTGCTTGCTAAGCTTGAGCTTTTGGTGGCACTGTACAGGGACGTTTAAGCTGACATTGCAATTCACAGAGGACTATCCCAACAAACCTCCCACCGTGAGGTTTGTTTCCAAGATGTTCCATCCCAATAGTGAGTCCCTTTCTTCTTTCTTTAATTTTCTTTTTTTCTTACTCATCTTTTTGCAGTTTATGCTGATGGAAGTATTTGCCTCGACATACTGCAAAATCAATGGAGTCCGATCTACGATGTTGCGGCAATTCTTACGTCCATACAGGTTTGGTTTTTTTTCTCGCCTTTGTTGGAATAGACTTTCTTACACTTATCCATCGCAGTCACTGCTTTGTGATCCTAACCCAAACTCGCCGGCAAACTCCGAAGCAGCACGGATGTATAGCGAGAACCGTCGAGAGTACAACCGGAGAGTCCGCGACATTGTGGAGCAGAGCTGGACGGCGGAATAGCCTGGATTTGTGGGGTAAGGCAGCATTTATGAGTGATCTTTTGCAATATATTTGTTGCATTGGCTAGCTCAAATGGGATCGCAGCACTTGCTTGAGTATGTATATGTATATACTACGTAGCGTGGAATGAATGTGGAGGAAGTTTTATTGCAAACTCTCACGAGTCTTTGCGTTGAGTCTTTGTGTGTCTGTCTTCTGTGTATGCCTCTTTGCTTAGCAATAACTCTTTGGATGTCATACAAAGTCTTGTTTTCCAGGTCTGAGAAACACGTATGGCTGGCCGTCACAGGTAATCTGTGTATCCTTTAGTACTCAAGATTGATGGTGGCTTTATTCAGTGAAATGTGTGCTGCTCCAGACACGCATAAAGAATGAAAAAGCAATCCGGAAAAAACTTTGGCTTGTCTATAAGCCAGCTACGAAGGGTACACTCTGTGGCACCCATGAGTTGCCATTGATGAATGACTTCACCGTGAACTTACCAGCCACCTTCTTGTCTGTGATTCCAGTCGACCATTGAACGCGTTTGCTTCTGTCAGAACCAGGGCCAGTGTTTTGATACTCACCGTAGAACAGAGTGCTGAGAGCGAAGTCTCCGTTCCACTCCAGCCATCCACGGGGTTCAATTATATCGCTGATGAACGACTTCATGAAGACTGTCCGTGAGTAGAGCTTCCACGGCCGTCCAAGGTATGATGGATGTTGTGCAATCTCGTTCCTTAGCTCAGGAGTTGCATCTATCTTGCAGCTGATGAAAGACAGGCCCGTGGTCTGCCTCTTATCGACGCGCCCTTGTGCTGTGAAGGTGACTTGCTGGCCTGGATTGCCAACTCTGGCCAAGACGGTGCAGTTCTGGATGACAGCAGCTCCGTTACCAAAAACAAAGTCGACGGTACCCATGATGAGGCAGTCTCTGTAGAACTGGCGGAGCGTGTGCGCGTAGAGCGTGTCCTGGAAGGCCTCGAGAGAGCACCGGTAGAAGACGACTTGGTCTGCACTTACTCGAAGTGCTACGGCTTGGTGGTTGTCAGGTCCAGCGGTGTTTCTGATGGTAAGATCTCTTGCAAAGAATCCTTTTCCACTGACAACTGAAAACATACCAGGTTAGGCATGCTGGAGGCAAAGATATCAGACTTACTAACGGTTGCCGAGTTGAAAGTGGTGACACCCGACTGCTGGACGTTCTTGTTTCCTGTGATGATGGTTCGGCCGATACCGTCTCCAACCAGCATAATGTTTAAGGCCTTTTTCGGTATGATAACACTTTCTGAGTAAACTCCCGCTCTTACGTATATGACGAATGTTTTGCTGCTTTTGAGGGGTGCAGCATCTATGGCGTCTTGAATCTTCTTGAAGTCCCCATTTCCATTTTTCGCAACGACGACGTTCGGGGTGAAATAATTTTTCTGCTGCAGCAATCGTCTCTGAGCAGCTGAGACCCACTCGGGGATGGAATCATCGCCATCGAGAACCTGGGGAGTTTCTTCGAGCAGCCGGCGGACAGGGATGGAGTGAGGCAGGGAAGGAAGCTGTGAAAAGAAGATGCTGGCCACAGCGAGAGCATTGCTCAGGATCTTGTGGGCGTAGCCTCCCTCGACATGGAGCTTGTCGCTGACAGTGCCGCTGATACCTTCGAAGCCGTCGATGCAGGTATCGTGGAAAGTTAGCGCAGAGCTGAGTGATGTCAAGAGATCGTCCACTGACGATGCTTTGCTGAGCAGGGACTTGATATCGATGGAGGCGATGGTGAGGTTGAGCTGGTCCAGAGCACCGTCGAGGTTGTCCACGCAATCAACGAGCGCGGCTTTGGTGGTGGCGTTGACTTCGCTGTTGAGGTACTCTTCCACCTTGTTCATCAAGCTCTGGATCTGCTGCTGAGCCACACGAACTGCCGACGCTGCCAGATCGTTTGGAGTGGCATTGTCCGGCGTCGAGGACGAGAGCGACGAGACACACTCCTGGGGGAAGTCCGTCTGCTGGCACGTAGCTTGGAGGAGCTTGACGCCGCCTTTGCTGCTGCCGCCTTTACCACTCCCGCTGTTCTTGTGGATCCCCACGGCGAGGCAGACCACCACCAGCACCAGGACAATGCTGGACAGGCCGATGACGAAGTACCTCTTCCTCACTCGCTTCACGTTGTGCCTGGTTTGATCGTATGGATCCATCGCCATCATCTTGGATCCTCGACAACGCTAGTGACGAGCTTCTTCTCAAGTTGCTCCCTCCATATATTTGTTTCTCGGGACATCGCTGGCTACGTGCGAACGTTGTCTCCACGTTGACAGGTTTTTAAAGTTTTTCCACTACGCGTTACTTCACGTTTGTGGTATTGACTCCCAAGGATTAAAAATCGTTCCCATGGTTGGAGGCATCAACTTAAGGCAGTGTTGTCACAAAGATTTAAGAAACAAAACGAATGTTTGTTGGATTCCCAGTGACGCGCGTAGTAAATCCATCGTTGTGGCGTCAAATTTAAGAAAGTGAAAGGGTACGAGTAAAGAATACAAGTAAAAGCGCTGGCTCATCTTCCGAAAGTTTTCTCTAAGTACAAGGAGTATTATGAATCTACCTAGCTTTAGGAGGTCGCAAGAACAATGACAAGAATCACAAGGCCCACAGTGAAGACGAGTGCCTGAGCCAAGATCACATTCATCCCAAGAGACCCAAGAGAAAAACCAGCATTTTCTTACTGCGATTGCACAGGCTGCGAATCCGGGGCGCTCCCGAAGATCTCGCTGGAATCGAGGGAAGAAGAAGACGAAGGTACCGTAGTACCAGAAGAGCGGCACGATGAAACCCAGCAAGAAGCTGCAAGATCACAGTTCCAGGAGGATCAAAATCGATGAATCAATCAATGATAAGAGAGACAAAAAAAACAAAGAGAAAATTTGCAAGAGCTTGCCTGCACCATCCAACACCGCATCCACAGCAGGGCAGCGGCTCATCCCAATCGCCATCGCCCCGCCCGCGAAGAAGGTGGTACGAGTCTGTCATCTTCGAGCCCTAAATCTCGATCCCAGCGCACTCTCACGAGGATCTCTAAAAGAGCAAGCTGGAAGTTTGGAATCAATGGAAGTTTTCGCATTATCTCAGCACCAAAACAGAGAGGAGAAAGTTAAAAGAGCCACTCAAACAGCAGGGAAAGCACTCACTTGCTCAGCTCTCGGGTCACCTCCCGCGAGAGGCTGAGTTGCAACGCATTGTTCCATGCAAACAAGGTCCGAGTCACTGGAAGTTTGCGGCGGAGCTCCTGCAAGTACGTAATACGTGTGCTGGTTATCTCTCTCCGGACAACATGGAAAACAAAGAGGATCAAACCTTGAAAGTGTTGTCTGATAGCTTTGAATAGGATTCCTGTGAACAAAAGAACGTGTAAATGGCGGCCTGGAGAAGTAGCAAATCATACCTCTAGCGATAACAAGTACTCGGACTCTTTGCTACGGATTATATTCACCACGGCTGTTGCCACGTCCAGAGGATTCTACGAAGGAGCAAGCAATGAACTGAATAGATTTGTCGATGGAAGGTTGAGAAACAAACCTGGAGTACGGTTGAATCCGAGCCTTCGTAGTTGGTGTCGAGTTGAACGTTTCCCTCTTCGAAATAGTGTGCATTCACGTGAACTTTGCCTGTCAGATCCACAGACTGGAGCTCTTGGTTCACTTGAATCTTCCAGGTCGATCGCCAAGAGCCACTCCTGCAGAGTGCTGATACAGTGAGGAGAGCGTAGCGATTGTCGGGCAACTTACGAAAAGTTCTGATGGCTGATCTTAGACGCAGAAATTAGAGCTGTGAGTTCAAAAGGAGCATCGTCTTCTTCAGCAGTGCTCCCAGCGGTGCAAAACACGGCGCAAGAGCCTCTTGGAAACGCCTCTTCCACGTACTTGAGAAGCTCGGAATCTATGGCAGACCTGAAAAAAATAAGAGCTTAGAATCCAGTCACAGAAAGGAAAAATAAAAAAAACACAACGAAAGTGTTGGAGTACCTGTACTCTTCAACAAATCCAGAGGGAAGCTCCTCGTCCGTAGCTGGACGAACTTTCGTGCAAATCTAGAAACATGAATGACACGAGTTTATGTTTCTAGTGAGCGAGTGAGAAAAGAAAAGAGAAGGAAAAGAGAAGGAAAGAGAAGGCTTGCCTGTTTGATGTGATCCACAGTTGCTACCTGCGCGGTTCTAAGATCGAGGTAGTGCGTAGAATCGAGAGCGCCACAGTTGCTAACAAGCACCTGTCAGCAAGCACAGCGCTCCTGCAAATCAGGAATTCGTCACTGGAATTTAACAGCGAGCTCGAGAGATTTTACCTGGCCACTCCCATCCGGCAGCTCCAGGCAGATCATTTGCTCCATGTTGTAAATGGGGAATGCTTCGCTAGCCGCTTGCTGGTAGAGCTTGTCGCTCATCAAAATCTTCTGGACATCTGCGCGGCCAAGCAATAAAAAATCTTTGCTTTGCAATCGATCAATCGCTGCATTACCTTTGGCGACCTGCTGGATCTGTCCTGGAGGCGATCGTAGCAGGAACCACTTCGCAATGCCGGCCTTGTGATCGTCCGTGGCCCCGTCCATGGCGCTCTACACAAACATAAACCCTAGCTAAAGACCTAGACAAGGTATCTTCGCTTAGCACATGGAATTAGCCGATAAGCACCGGAAATGTCCACGTCAGGATGGCCGAGTTGGTCTAAGGCGCTAGTTTCAGGTACTAGTCCGTAAGGGCATGGGTTCGAATCCCATTCCTGACATCTGTATAAATTTTAAAGCATATTTTTAACATTATTTATTAAATAGAACACCATAATTAGGTTCCTCAAACTTATGGTAATTTAATTTATAAATTTTTAAAAATTATAAAAATTAATCTAGGGAACTTTCCTTGTAAGTTGTAAATAGATAATAAAAAATTTTATAAAGCCTTTAGCAAAGGCAACATCACCACAATCTAAAAGTTCTTTTGGTTGTTACAATATATAAAAGTTCACCACCTTTAGTTAGCTTTTATGATTTCACTCCTAGTTAGCTCTAGATAGATAGTTAATTTGTAAGTAGGTTTTCCAACAAAATTTATATTCATGCTTAAGGCTTGAGAACTTAAGGTTTTCTTATTATTATCATAAGATTTAGTTTTGTTCTTTCTCCTTTCTTCTTCACAGCTCTCTACCCTTTCAAATGTGTTAACCCTAAGGTTTGACCCCATAGTCCTAAAAGTAGTTTTGAGAGATTTTCACCACACCTGAGTTGTGGCACACTAAGTGCATGCTTATAAAGATGATGTGATCAGGCATCCCAATCTCTAGGATGTTTCTATAGTAGGTTTCCACTGCCTCAATTATATTACATGCCTAGTGGAAGTATAAATAACCACCACTACAATCCATGACACCAAGTTTTGCACTAGCATTCTTTTGAACCAAACTCAAATTTTCAAGAGGAGTCCATTGCAAGTGAAGCCCACCACCATTTTTATTTAGGTAATGGCATTGTGCTCCTTAATTGCCTTGAAGAGGTTTATTGCTTCCAGTAGCAAGCCTTCAACTTTATTTTAGTATATAGTCTTATAAACAACCCAATAAAACTGAAAGTTTTTATCATTCAAAGCCCAAAATCATTTCAAATTACAGAATTCAAAGCTTATATCAGCCATGCACATTCAAAGTTGGGAAATCTCAATGAAATTGTTGACAAGATCATAACATATAGCAAGTTTATTGTTATGGCTTTGTTAACTGATATCTTTAAAAGAGAGTGGTATTAGCACACTTTGTATATTCATAAGAATTATAACTATTTATAATGGTTGGTACTTCTGATTTGTGCATTAATTTTCATATTATATATAAAATCATTGTTATAGTAGAAATAAATTAGATAGAAAACTTTTATACATGTATAATAATGAATTTTAAACATTCAAACTCATGCCACAAAAGGACAATTAGAGTCAATTGCAATTTTTCGCCCATTTGAATTGGTGGTGTTTGATTTTATAGGACCTTTTCCACAATTAACTATTGGTAGTGAATATGTTATTATTGCTTCTAACTATTTGATTCTTTGAGTGGAAGTTAGTGCTCTTGCTAGTGCCTTTGCAACTGCTATTGGATACTTCCTCCTCAATTAAGTGGTGTTTTAGCATTCTTATCCAGAGTGGATTCTTTCAGATAATAGTCCTACATTTATGGCTAAGGCATTTCATGTTTTGACGTCTTGGTTGGGGATATGCCACAACTTTCACAAGTGTTTATCATCCACAATCAGATCGTTTGGTGGAACAGCTCATTCAAACATTCAAAGGAATGATCACAAAGTATGTAAACTTTTAGCATTTGGATTTGGATGGTTATTTGCCATATCTTCGGTATACATATGTTATAGAGGTGCAAAATTCTGTTGATGTTTCACCATATAAATTCTTATATGATCATGATCCAATATTACCAATAGAGTTGGGTTTACTTTCAAAATTACCACAAACTGCCGATACTAAGTCATAGGATCAATATTTGACAAGCATTCTTCCACTTGTCTGAGCAAAATTTGCCGAACATTTAAGCCGCCTACAAATGGGACAACAATAACATTACAACTCCCATCATCGTCCACCTGCAAAGTACAAAATAAATGACACGGTGTTAGTCCGTTTTCCCTATCTTACTATACATGGTTTATCTAAAGGGCTTCTTGCTCAATAGAAAGGATTGTATTGGGTGTTGTGGCAAGTTGGACCACAAATTTATGAAATTCGGCATAATGTCCAACAAGCCAATCTTCCAAAAATTGTGCATGTGCAACAGTTAAAACACTTTATATAAAGGAATTAAAAACAATTGATACCACCTATAGATCTGCCAATGCCTCCTTTTAACGTTCTTCCAGATCTCGGCCCATCTACAAGAAAATTTTAATGATCTTCTATTATTCCAAGAAGAGGGGATGATATAAGGTCCAATTGTACAACTATAATGCCATATACTAATATTAGTGTAGTAAGATTTTGGTAGTTGTCAAATTAGTTTCAATATAAACCACTTGCTCTTGTATATAAGCGAGGGTTTTTAGGTTAATTTATATGTATATTTTCTGTATTCCCTTTCCATATTCATAATGATATTTATAAATTGTTAGTAAAATTGTATATGAACCAAATAATTTAATTAAGTTTGAGCATTATAAAAATTTATAAAATAGTTTAATTATTTAATCCATCTATTATTTTACTACTCAGACTAAAATATGAAAAACTCAAAAGTATCAAGTAAATATTTCTAATTCTTTCCGAAAGTTGTTAATAATTTCTCAAAACTTTGAATGTGATGGATCTCCTTTGAATTCTGTACTGATATGATCCTAAGATTTAAAATTTAATGTAGGAGTTGCTTCATCAGTCATCATCAACACAACAACAAGAACCCAGAAAGTTTTGTATTTATCTATCTCCAATGCCAAAGCTAGTAACTTTGACACCTGGATTTTTCTGAAGAGGAGCAGTGCACCTTCTTGCGATGAATAGAGCATTTGATTTTACACTGCTTGCAGCTGGATCTGGGCACTTGCAGCAAGAGAAATCCATCCAAGCCACAAGAAAAAAAGGGAATTAATTGTGTCGTTCCTGATTGCGACTGCCTGCATTTGGAGTGAGGCTGCGCGATGGGGAAGAGTTTTCGCCGCGGAAAATTTCGTGGCTGGAAGCTAGAACCTGCCAGGACTTGAACCTCGGACGTCCCCATCATCCAACGGCCATGATGTGATGCGCGTTCTTGGCGTCCAAGAGCTTGCCGCCCTCGTCAGATCTTGTGACAATCCCAGCGATGGCCGCCAGATCCACGCCCAGATCCTTCACAGCGACCACAAGAACAGCGTCTTCCTGCGAAATCTCCTGGTCCAGATGTATGGCCGCTGCGGCTGCCTGGAGGAAGCGCGATCGGTCTTCGATTCCACCTCGGATCGCAATCTCTTCTCTTGGAATCTCATCCTCCAGGCCTACATTCGCAACCACGACCTGGAGCAGGCGCGATCGGTCCTGGAAAGCATGCCGCAGCAGGAGATTGTGTCCAGCAACGCCATGATCTCGGCATACGCCGCGGCCGGAGACGTGCAGCGCGCCAAGCAGCTCTTCGATCACATCCCTGCCAAGAATGCCATCACCTGGAACGCGATGATCGAGATGTACTCGCAGAGTGGCAACCTCAGCGAGGCGGAGGCGGTATTCCACTCCATGCCGGAGCAAACCCTCGTTTCTAGCACCGCTATGATTGTGGCATATGCCCATAACGGGCATCTCTCACGCGCGCGTGAGGTGTTCGATTCCCTGCCCCAAAAGGACGTGGTGGCGTGGACGGCCATGATCCAAGGCCACTGCCAGAACCAGCGGCTGGATGAAGCTAAGGATCTCTTCGATAGAATGCCCACAAGGAATGTAGTAACATGGACGACCATGATCACAGCATATGCCCAGGCAGGGCATATGGAGCAAGCAAAGAGTCTCTTTGAAGATGCCCCGGATCTTAATGAGGTGGCATTTACAGCTATGATTGACGGTTATGCATCTAACGGCTGCGTGGAAGAGGCTAAAGCTTTGTTTGAGAGGCTGCCAAAAAAAGACGTGGTGGCTTGGAACTCCATGCTTTGCGCATATGCCGAGAATGGGCATTTGGACGAGGCATTAGATTGTTTCCAAAAGATGGCTCACCGCGACGAGATCTCTTGGACGACAATGATCCATATGCTTGCCTCTAGAAACCATCTTGAAAATGCAAAGTTTATTTTCGATCGAATGCCTTACGATAGCAAGACAGCGAGCACGGCGCTCCTCTCAGCCTACCTCTGGAACGGCCACCTCCAAGAAGGGATAAGCCTCTTCCAGGCAATTGAGGAGCGCGATGCAATCTCCTGGATGGCAATGGTGGCTGGCTTTGCTCGCAAGGGACTCCTCGTGGAAGCTCAAGTTTGGTTTGAGAGAATGCCAGAGCGAGACTTGGTCTCATGGACTGCACTGGTGGCCATGTATGCTTCCACTGGGCATGTAACTGAGGCCCTGGAAACCTTCCATAGGATCATCCAGGAGAGCATGATGCCTGATCACATTGTATTTACAAGTGTGCTTGCGGCATGCCGCCACTCGGGTGTTGTGAAGATGTCTCGGGACTACTTTCAATCAATGATCCAGGACTATGGAGTTGAACCCACGGGAGAACACTATTGTGGGCTTGTTGATGCATTTGCAAGGGCTGGAGAGCTGGAGAAGGCTGAGGAGCTCATCCACAGCATGCCATTCGAGCCCGAGAGCGTTGCTTGGGTCTCGCTGCTGGCTGCTTGCCAAAAGATCCACAAGGATCCCAAGCGTGGAGCTCGAGCTACCCAGAAACTCTCGGTGCTGGGGTTGGCCTCACAATCGAATTTCTACGTGCTACTTGGCCAGAATTATAGAAGTGTATTAACTTGATATATAAAGGTTCACTATGATTAAGCTAGGGCTCACATTATTTCTATCAACTATGAAAAGGCCATGGGGTTATGGGGAGTGGAGTTTTGAAACACTTTGACATCACCACCAAAGAGGAGAAGAAAAAAATGAAGTTGTCAGACCATTCTTTGCTACTGCCCTTAGCTTTGGAGAAGAAACCCTTCTATTGGACATGGACAAGACATTAATCGATGCTCACAAGGCCCTCAAGCTCTTTAGCGGCAAAACTATTCCCCTGCAGCACTACTTTCTGGCAAAGAGGCTAGGTGTAAATAACTTTCTAAAAGAGATGAGTAAAATATATAAGATTGTGGTTTAGCAATGAAGCCATACACAAACAAGATTTTGGACAAGCTCGACCCAGTTGGGAATCTTTTTGCCCATTGTCTCTACAAAGATTTATGCTCAACCAAGGAAGTCCGAGGGAAAAAGCTTGTGAAAAATCTCTTGAAATTAGAGTGGGACCTCAAACATACAATGATTGTGGATGACAAACTAGAATCCTTTTGCTTGCAACCCAACAATGGAATTGTTATCTGCACATTCAAGAATAGGAAAGGGCATAAATATTATGAATTGAAGATCAGCTATGCCGATGAACTCAGCTCCTTTGCTTGAAGCTCTCAAGAGAACTGGCGAGGAGCGTGCCGCTGAGTTTCACTTCCCAAGCCACCCCTTCGATTTTCCAAGTTTCTCGGAGCTCAACTCTTCCAGTTTCATCTCCCGGAGATGCCAGGCCTAGATAACTTGCACTCGCCACAAGAAGCGCAGCAAATGGCTGCCAAGCTTTTCGGAGCAGGGTACTCGTGGTTCCCACGTCTCGGCATTCTCTGCCATGGTTCTTGGAGTAATGCCTCACTATGTTCTTCCTTGTTATGACGAGCTCTGGGAGATTTCTCACGGTGTCTCTGCCGAGAGCATCGAGTTGGCCATCTTGGATCTGCAGAAAAGAAAAGACGTAGGAATTGGAGCTGTTCTGATTGTCTTGCCAACTTACTTTGGCGTGTGTAGCCCAGTGGACGAGATTGCAAAGGTGTGTCACAGCATGGTATCCTGATCAAAGTTGACAAGGCTCATGGAGCTCACTGCAAGTTCCACTCGAGGTTTCCTGTAACGGCACTCGAGCAGGGAGCCGACGATGCTGTCCAATCCACACATAAGGTACTCTCGTCTCTTACTCAGTCTGGGATGCTCCATCTTGCGAGAGGCTGCGATATTGTAAAGCACGAGAGAATTAGCAAGTGCCTTGGAGCCTTGCAAAGCTCCAGTCCGAGTTACCTTCTCTTGGCCGCTCTCGATGCCGCAAGGGACCAGATGAGTTGTGCAGAAAGCAATGACCATCCACTGCTTGATACAGCTCTGGAGCTGGCTTCCACAGCTCGACGACGCCTGAAACAAATCCCACAAGTTTTAGTCCTTGATAGAGAAAATGTGAGCTTGGCAGCCAAACCTGATACCATATTTGATGAGCTTAGGATCACCATTGGTTTGTGGGAGCTCAGTGTCACAGGAACTCTTGCTGATGACTTTCTGTGCGATAAATGCAAGGTGGCGGCCGAGCTTCCTCTTCTGAACTCTATAACTTTTGCTATGGGAGCCGGCACTAGCCGCCCCTTGTCGACCAAACCAGCGTGGCAGCAGACCGATAGAACTGAAGAGAATGTCACAGAATCCGGCTTGGCGAACTCTTGCATTCTCTCAAACAGATCAAACACTGCGTCACTGTCCCCCTGATGGCTGTATCCTGCGATCAGTGCTCTCCAAGACACTGCGTCCTTGTCTGGAAACCCATCAAACACTCAGCGAGGTTGCTCCATGTCACCACACTTGCCATAGAAACTTATGAGGGAGTTTGCCACCGCTGGAGAGTTCTCTGCCCCAGCTTCTTCGATCAGACCAGCCTGTAGTTCTCCAAGACCTCCACAAGCCTTAAGTACCGCAGCAAAAGTCTGCAAGTCGGGTTTCAATCCTTGGAGTATCATCCTTAAAAAACTCCTGCAGGGCAAGCTCATGGTTGCCACTCTCGGTGTATGCTTCGATCATGATGTTCCACGAACGACGTCTTTGATCACCATCTTGTCAAAAACCCGAGCCGCATCATTCAAACTTCCACACAGAGAGTAGAGACTGATCAAGTTGTTTGCAGTGTAAGCATCTTCCAGCCCGTCAAGAAAGCCAATGCCTTTTCCAGCGATGCCACTCTCAAGGACTTTCCATCCACAAGCCGAGCCTCTTCCTTCTCGGCCATATCCAAGCACGCCTGGAGAATAAAGTTCTCGAACTGACAACCACGTCTCGTGCTTGCATGGCCGTGAATAACTCGATAGCTCGCTCGGCCTCCCAACCTTTTGCATATCCCATGATCATAACATTCCAGGAGACCGAATCCTGCTCAATCATCCCATCCAAAACTCGCCGGCAATCCAGCAATCTCTCACACTTGGCATACATTTCCATCAGACTGTTGGAGACGAAAACGCTGGACGAAATCCCTGTCCCTGTTCTTGCAAGCTAGAGTCCGAGCATTCGCCTCCACTCCATCTTCCAGAAGCATAAGCTCAAAGAGCTCCAAGGCTAGCTCGTCTTCCCCTCCTTGTGAGCAAGCGCTGATCATCGCACTCCACAAAACCACGTCCTTTGTTCCCAAGTTGGCAGCCTGGAAAATCTTTAGAGCTTCTCTCACGCTGCCACACTTTCCATAGAAATCCACCACTCTGGAGCTGGGAATGGAGAGCCAAGCCTCTCTTGAGGCTCCTGAGCTTGATGATCCTCCCCTGTAAATCTCTCACCCCCTGGAGAGCCGCCGACCGTTTGCATCCAACCCCTCGGCATGCAGCCGCGCAAAGAACTGGAGCGCGAGATCCGGCTGGCCGCACCACGTGTAGCCGCCGATGACGAAGTTCCACCGACGCCACGGTGCAAATCGAAAATGCGGCGTGCCTCGTCCATCCTCCCCTGTTTCTCAAATCCATCAATGACTGCGTTGATCAAGCCGATGTTCTTACTGGAGAGGAGATCGCTCGCGGCCGTCGCCGTCCAGTTGGATTGGACCCATTCCTCTCAGCACGACATCAATCATTTGATTTTAGGGTTCTTGAGGTTTAGAGATGAAGAATAAATATGTGGCTGTGGAAGAGCGGCGCTGTGGAAAATGTTCAAAGCATAGAGAACTTATATAACTCATGACCATTTTTCTGTTCGTTTTCTTTCTTTACAGGATAGAAAAAGAGTAAGAAGGAGGATAATCAAAATGCAAAACTGTGCTTGGTCTATGCAAACTCACTGGATGCGAGATTTGATCAGGCCTCCCAAAACTTGGCTGGGTCTTTGGTATAGACAGTCCGGTCCTGGATCTGCCAATCTACAATCCTTGCCTGGGTACATTTACAGACGAGCAGAGCGAGAAACAAATCCTCTCTGCTTCATTTATAGAAACAGCAAGTGAGCGACAAAATCTCGAACAAAACTCTCCTGTCAATTTTCCTTGGTTGAGTGAGGTTTTTTTTTTTGTAGATGTAGAAGTCTAGGTCTTTAGCAAAGCCAATCTCAATATATCTTAGTTAAGTTGAATTCTACATTTAAAACTTCCTCATATACAAGGCCATAATTAACTTTAAGATATACATTCCAATTATAGGATAATGTCATTTTTATGTTGTTGAAACCTTCTATACTTTCTAGAGGTGCAAAGAGAAAATCATACTTTTATAACAGAGTCTTAGATATGGCCCTTTATATGGCAACCTTGGATTCTTTGGGATTTTAGTGACAATTCCCATAACAAATGCAATTGTGCACATCATCAAGTACACTAACAATTTGTTAGTTGTAAATGATTAATTTTTTTCATTATACTATAGTTATTTAACTATATCTTAGATTAGTTGAAGAAGTCTTATTTATAACCTTCATAAGTCTTATTCCTAACTTGAGGACTTGATAGCCCCATAAATGGCATCTATACCATTTTACTTTTGCACTTAGTTTAAATGCTTTATGTATTTGATCCTAACACAAACACCTAAAGGTATTATTAACATATTAACCCATTATGCTAAGGCATATCCATTCACTTTTGTTTTATTAATAATCCAAGACCATCCATACCATAAACCCATCTCCCATGTCCACACTTTAGCACCTTTAGAATGCTCAAAGATATAAAGAATACCCTTCCCCAATATCCCTTCTTTAATCCCCACTAAATCCCACTTTATTCACAGTAGAGCTTGCATATACTGTCACTGAGTCAAAGTTTAAAGGTGTGACCACTAAGTTCTATTAACCTCTAAGACTTCCTTACCACATGATTATTCCTTTGGTCACTACATAAGAAGATTGTTTTTCTTCCTTTCCATAGTTTGAAACTTTATGACAATATTTCAAAACACCATGACCCTACACGAGCTTCATAAGTGCTCTCCCCACCTTCCGCCCTTAAATGCCTTAGCCATATGGCTAGAGCGAGGTTTTGATGAGCCACACTAGATATCCAAGTAAGTAGTATCATTGATATTTGGATTGGGAACATTAACTATTTGATCTCTTGGGGCAGCTATAGTTGGCTTTTAAGTTACCTCATTTGTTTGTCCATGTTCACTTTAACCTTGAACTCTTTATTGCTTATATCATCACTTACCATATAGGTATAACTTTCCTTGGTCACATTGTTTTTCTTAGCTAAATTGGTTCCACTAAAGTCCTCCCCCTATTATCCTTTTGGAGCTCATTAAACCTTTCAAGGTCTAGGAAATGATCACTTTGGGCTTTTACTCTTGGACTTGGACTCAGACTTAGTCTTGGTCTTGGCCTTGGTCTTGGTCTCGGTCTCGATTTCGGTCTCAGTCTCGGTCTCAATTTCAGTCTCAATCTCGGTCTTGGTCTCAATCCCAATTTTAGTCTCAGTCTTGGTCTCGGTCCTAGTCTTGGACTCTATAGTGGACTCCATCTCGGACTCCTTAGACTCTATTTTGGAGTTTTGCTTGAACTCCATCTTAAACTTCTTCTCAGACTTCATTTTGGACTTTATATCAGACTTGGTCCCATCACTTCCATATGTCAAGACACTTGCCATTTGTCAGTTCTTCTTGTATCCTTTTTTAGAGACTCATTCACTAATTGTTTTTTGCTCATTCCTCGAGCACTTTATTCAAAATTCCACTCACACTTTCGACTTTCTAAAATAGAACTTTTAATCCAAACATATTATATTTATTAAACTTCCACTTCAACCACTGCCATGTGGCACACTTTAGCTCCACTTTGGGGCTTAGGGATTTATGACTCACATTGGTATGGAATGCAATCATCTTAGCATAGGCCTTTAGCATATTAGGCAACATTCTATGGCTAAAGATGTAAGTTGAAGTCATTGGTGTTGGTGTTAGCTTCATATATTGCATTTGAAAACAGTTCAAAAAATATAAAATATAATAAGTTGATGACAGCTCCATGACTAAGGCAATACTTGATTGGTCTAATATTGACCATATTAAACCTTGAGGACAATTGCTCTATAACAACAATTGAAAATCCACAATGATGATTATGAGCACTCCTAATTTCCATCTAGTTCTTTTATTGAGAGTTGTAGAAAATGATCTCATTGTACTTGATGGTGGGCACACATCATGACATCACATTTGCTATGGGAATTGTCTCTTTGTTCATGGAGAATCCATAGTCACCATAAATAGGATAATTTAATATCTTAAAAGTACAGTCAATTATTATGTTGTATATGAGGAAGTTTTAGAAGCAAGATTTGACTTGACTGAATATGTAAATGTTAACTTTGTTAGACAGCCAAACTTCTACAAATCAACCATAGGTTATCGCTATAATAGTGATTACATGATACATTAAGAGGAGCATATTAAGCCCTTTCTAGTGCTAAGACAAAGTATGTGGCATTAATAATGGTGACACATGAAGCTATTTGGCTACGTTAAAATCTCATATGCATTTACTTTATTACTATAGAGTATATATTACTCTTTTACAATAATTAGAGGGTTATTATGATATCATAGAAGGATGAAGTTTATTCAAACCAACGAGAACATGTTTGTGAGAGAACTCTTAAAGTTTATTTCCTTCTAAATCACAATTAAACATTAAATATTTTCATCAAAGCTTTAGTAGAAGCAACATTCACTAATCAATACCACAATCTAAGAGTTGCTTCTGTTGACTACATCTCAAAAGGGATGTTATATTATAGAAGAGTCCACCACCTCTAATTAGCTTTAGTTCTTTACTCTTAATTAGCTCTGGATAGCTATCAATTAGCCTCCAAAGTAAGTTACTAGCTAACTAGTAGCTATATATCTAGAGTTAATTGGGAGTGAAGAATTGAAGTTAATTGGAGGCAATGGACTCTATAATGTTGCAAAACTCCCTCTCTGAGGCATCACTAATAAAAAGAAATTTTAGATTATATTTGGGAATGTTCTCTTTAGTAAAGGGATATTATTCATGATTTAGAAGGAAATAAACCTAAATCCCGTTGAGAATATGTTCTCGAATGAAGTGAAACTGGTTTTAATATGCTCTATCTTGCCATGATATCTCGCATCCTTCATGAGCGCAATAACACTTGGTATAGGCTTTGTGGGAATAAAGTTAATATACAAAAGATTTTATGTAGTAAAAGAGCCTCACATGTCATTGTTATTAATACCACATACTTTTCTTCAATACTAGAAAATGTTTCTTGGTCGACCATGTAATGCCATGGGGATGAAGGTGGAGTCTTCTCCAACCAACATTGTCTCAACAAAGTTTGTCTTCAAGATCAAGACAAATGGTAATGGCAATATCACATGGTACAAGGCTTGGCTTTTATCATATTAAGGGCATCAACTTCACTGAGATGTCCTCACCCATTGTAAGAATCTAATCAATTCATATGCTTCTAAAATATTTACGTTCACCTCCTTCTTGTCTGGGTATGGCCAACACCATACCTACAATCTGAATAAGGTGATTTATTGCCTTAAAGAAGTGTCAAGAGAGGTATGAAAAGATGGACAACTTTATACTATTAATTGGCTTCACTAAAACTATGTCAATGACACACCCATCATCATGGAGAACACAGCCTGTTAAGGAGTAGTTGTCTTCAAGGTTTGATATAGTCAACATTCGACCAATCAAGCATTGTCTCAGCATCCAAATTTGTTATTGTGATTTTGTCATGGAGCTATCTCAAATTCATTAAGATGCAAAATGTGAAGCCCATATCAAATCATGTTGCCTAGCACACCAAAGAACTATTCTAAGATAATTACTGTTCTGTATTGACAAGCTATTAGCAACGTACTATACTTGATGGTTTGTACACATCCATACATAGTGCTTGCTATGGGCATTGTCTCCCAATCCAAGTTGGGAACACTTTAGTAGATATGTTGATGCTGACTTTGTTGGAGATCCAGATTTCACAAATCCATATATATATTTATTTTGTTTTAATATGGGTTTTGGAGTGATCACATTGTCTAGCAAGAAGCAACACATCACCATGAAGCAAAGTGCATGGTATTGACAAAAACACTCTTTGGCTACCCAAAAATCTTGTCTACATGAACTTTATTCCTAGAAAGTTTATACTAATTTTCTGTGACAATTAGAGTGCTATTACTCTCACCAAGGATGTAAGATGTCATCATGGAAGGATGAATTCAAATGCTATTTCAGTTTATCCAAGAACATATTTACAAGGGAACTTTCAAAGTTTATTTCCTTCCAGGTTGTGAATAAATGGCAGGTATCTTCACCAAGCCTTTCCTAGAGGCAACATTCATTGATTATCACCACACTCTAAGAGTTCTTCCTATCAATAGCACCTCTAAGGGGGAGTATTGGAGCATAATGGAGTTCACCACCTCCAATTAGCTCTAGTTATTCCCCATTAACTCATGAAGTAGCTAGTAGTTAGCTCTAGTATTTAGAGCATGTTTTTTTGACTAGATCCATATCTTGTTAGGGGTTTTTTTGCTCTGTTATTTGAACTTATTTCTCTTTTCTTCTTCAACCACAACTTGTGTTATGG